TGGCTGCTCGGCCATGTAAACCCATTTCATGAAGCTCCCGACTAACAGTTATTGTGCTGACGTTGCTTCCAGAGGCAGTTTGGAACTCAGGAGTGAGTGTTGCAACTGAGGACAGATGATTTTTACGCGCTACACGCTTCAGCACATTGGCGGTCCCGTTCTGTGCGCTTGTGTGGCCTACCACTTCGCGGCTGAGCCGTTGTTGCTCCTAGAAGTTTCCACTTCACAATAACAGCACTTACAGTTGACCGCGGCAGCTCTAGCAGGGCAGAAAGGTGGCATCCTATGACGGTGCCACGTTGAAAGTCACTGAGCTCTTCAGTAAGGCCATTCTACTGCCAATGTTTGTCTATGGAGATTGCATGGCGGTGTGCTCGAATTTATACACCTGTCGGCAATGGGTTTGGCTGAAATAGCCGAATCTAATAATTTGAAGGGGTGTAGGTAGGTAGGTAGCATTCGGAAAGTATTCAGACCCCTTCACTTTTTCCACATTTTGTTACGTTACAGCCTTATTCTAAAATTGATTAAATTGTTTTTGTCCTCATCAATTCCCCATAATGACAAAGCAAAAACAGGTTTTTAGAAATGTTTGCTAATTTATTAAAAATGAAAGGTCCCACAGAGAACAGTGCATGTCAGAGCAAAAACCAAGCCATGTGGTCGAATGAATTGTCCGTAGGGCTCCGAGACAGGATTGTGTCAAGGCACAGATCTGGGTAAGGGTGCCAAAAAATGTCTGCAGCATTGAAGGTCCCCAAGAACACAGTGGCCTCCATCATTCTTAAGAAGTTTAGAACAACCAAGACTCTTCCTAGAGCTGGCCACCTGGCGAAACTGAGCAATCGGGGGAAAAGGGCCTTGTTCAGGTAGGTGACCAAGATCCCGATGGTCACTGACAGAGCTCCAGTTCCTCTGTGGAGATGGGAGAACCTTCCAGAAGGACAACCATCTCTGCAGCACTCCACCAATCAGGCCTTTATGGTAGAGTTGCCAGATGGAAGCCACTCCTCAGTAAAAGGCACATGACAGCCCGCTTGGAGTTTGCCAAAAGGCACCTAAAGGACTCAGACAATGAGAAAGAAGATTCTCTGGTCTGATGAAACCAAGATTGAACTCTTTGGCCTGAATGCGAGGTGCCACGTCTGGAGGTAACCTGGCACCATCCCTACAGTGAAGCATGGTGGTGGCAGCATCATGCTGCGGCAGGGACTGGGAGACTAGTCAGGATGAAGGGAAAGATGAATGGAGCAAAGTACAGAGAGATCCTTGATGAAAACCTGCTCCAGAGCGCTCAGGACCTCAGACTGGGGAGAAGGTTCACCTTCCAACAGGACAAGACCGTGAACACACAGCCAAGACAACGCAGGAGTGGCTTCGGGACAAGTCTCTGAATGTCCTTGAGTGGCCCAGTCAGAGCCCGGAATTGAACCCGATCAAACATCTCTGGAGAGACCTGAAAATAGCTGTGCAGCGATGCTCCCCATCCAACCTAACAGAGGTTGAGAGGATCTGCAGAGAAGAATGGGAGAAACAACCCAAATACAGGTGTGCCAAGCTTGTAGCGTCATACCCAAGAAGACTCAAGGCTGTAATCGCTGCTAAAGGTGCTTCAACAAAGTACTGAGTAAATGGTCTGAATACTTATGAAAATGTAATATTTCTGTTTTAATTATTTTATAAATTTTAAAAAAAAACGGTTTTTGCTTTGTCATTATGGGGTATTGTGTGTAGATTGATGAGAATAAAAAAACTATTTAATCAATTTTAGAATAAGGTTGTAACGTAACAAAATGTGGAAAAATTGAAGGGGTCTGAATACTTTCCGAATGCACTGTGTTTTTTTGGTTTTGGGGGGGTTGGGGGCACCCCCGCCTTGCAGGGCCTGCGGGTGCGTGCTACGCCACTACTTATAAGTGAGGTATAACTATAAGAAATCTAAGATGTCCAATTTTATCCAGCTCAGGGCTCCAGCTATGCATTTGATTTGCTAACTTGCTAGCTAAGTGGTTAGATGTCAAGATCAAGCTTCTTGGTACAGCCGAGACATTCAATCCCCTCCTGGATCAAGATCCCTGTTGCCTAAATAGTTTTGTGCGTACATAAAAAAATGTATTTTTATAGCGCCCCTTGTGTGCACATTCGGTAATACCGTATACCCCGGTTTGGTACAGAAACTGAATGACGGTATGAAAATCTGGATACCTACCAACCCTAATTGTTAGGGCGGAGACATGAGCATCTCCTCATTATGTACAGATCTCTAACTAAGGTAACATCTTTTAGGGAGCGGTAATGAAGTGACCAATAATGGTTGCAATTGAGATCAGCTGTGTGCTATTAAGGGTTTAACGAGACATCCGCTTTCGATAATCTAGTGCCATTGATCGTTGCAATAGGCCGCTTGTTATTTGATTATATTCCTATAGGCTACATTCTGTAGGCTACCCGTGTGAAAACCAATAATTAACTGTTTATTACCCTGGTTGAGTTGATGAGCTGATTTGGGCCATCAGTTGATTGACAGATGTAGGCCAACTGTAGAACGATCAACTTTTCTCCAGTGTAGATGCTCACGCTATATATAAAATAAAATAAAATAAAATTGCAGAGGTGGGTAGAGTACCTTAAATCTGTACTTAAGTAAAAGTACCGTTACTTATATTGTAATTTACTCAAGTAAAAGTAGCCCTCTTAAGAAACCACTTGAGTGAAAAAGTATCTGGTCAGAAAACAAAGTACTAGTTACAAATTTAGTTTAGTAATTTTTTACACCTTCTGGTAAGCTATGACAACAAACAAAAAGGACAACAACTTTCAAGTACATGTGATGGTGAATGTTTAATTTTTCACTCAGAATGAAATATCAAGGGACAGGTAAGTATTACAACAGTCAAACAACAATCAATATCGAAATTTCACTATCAATCATATTACTACGGTAGTATGAAAATCGGACACATTTTAGCATGGAATTAAACATCAATGTAGGTATTTAAGTAAGAATCGTGTTGGTAATAAATAATCAAACAGTGCAGATATCAATTGCCATAGTCGACTCAATCATCTTTTTCCTGCCAAGGTAGGATTTACCCTCCATCCTCCTTCTCTTGCGAACCTCTCCTTTCCACTTTGAAGGGTATTTTCATTTCTTGGCTGGCCTATTTTCCTCACCCTCGGTTGTTTCACTACAAGCTGTAAATAAAGACACACACACAAAATGTATTTCTAGAATATGGCACAAAAAGCGTACTGAGATGATACACTGACTGTATGACGTGCTTATAGGCCTTGTCATAAAAACAATGACACACACACACACACAGAGTGAGAGAGAGAGCAATGGAGTGGGAGGATGCTGCGCTGGACTGACCGGATGATCTAGCTAACGTTAGCTAGCAACATGGTTGACACTGCAGCTAGTTAGCTTGCGCAACTTGCCACATTGGCTTCAGAAACCGCCAGAAGCTTCTGTTTACCACAGAGAGCGTTTGAGTCTATCTGTTCTCCGCTACCTTTCCTAACTGGCAAAGAACAAGGATGTTGTCTCTGGTTTTGAATCTGAATTTAGAGAACTGAATCTGAATGCATCTGAGAAGTTGAATATATGAACTTGAAATGATAGTTTGTAAACTTCATACACAGACAATGAATGCAATATCTACCGTATTGAAAATGAATATATACATACTGAATTTGAATATTCAAATTGAATTTGAAAACTGAACGCAATATTAATTACATTCAGTTTTAAATAATGAAATGCAAGTTAAATTTCTTAATTCAATGATCCAATTTGTGCATTGCAAATTCAATTTTTTTAAAATTCAAATTCAGTGTTATAATACAAATTCAAAATTATGGAATTCAAATACAATTTAATTTTGCACTGAAATCACTCCATACTTATCCATGTCTGCTGACTGATTAGGCATTTGTTTTAGCTCCCGATCTTCTAGAGGTGTGCTGCCTTCTTCCCTCCTGCAAGACCCTCAACCCCTTTCTTTATTCCTCTCTCCTTCACCTCCTCCCTTGCTTTGTGGCCACATTTGAAAGTTCCTGTGCATGAGCTTTATAAATAAGAGAAAGGACAGCACAGTGGGGGGAGGGAGGAGAGCGGGGCAGAGTTAGGGGTGGTCGTCATGGATTCCTCACCATAGCAACCGGCAAACGTTTACAAAGCATTGAGGAATTTCCTGATATCAGCTGGATTATTGGAGCCCCCAGAGAACAGTTCTCATTAGAAACAAACACTGGATATCATCAGGCCCTGGCGGGGGTAGGAGCCCCACTGCCATTTCAATCTTTTTTCTCTCTTCTTTTGAGGGGCTGTGAAAGTTTTTTTTAGTTTTTTTACCCCCCCAAAAAAGTTTCCCCTTGCAGTTCCATTCTTCTCAACAACCCCTCCCTCTCCCCTCTCCCCTCTCCCTCTCTTTCTCGCTCTGAAAGAGAGAGCCTTTGTGTCACTACATTTTTAGCTCGCCTCACTCCCTTTTGCCATGCTGTGCACATTTTCACCCAATGTTGGAGAGAGAGAGTGTTTACAGTTTGGAGGACCGGGCCTCCTAAGTCCTGACGATACTCACAACTGTTTTCACCACAACTTTTTAATCTGCTTCTTTCCTAGCAGCTGGACTTATACTAAGCAGCTGCTTAGTGTTGCTGGCTTTACCAGTGTTGTTAATATTCCAGTAATAAAGGCCAGAGGTGAGGTGTCTCTAGGACTCTGAGGTGACTTGGCAGGGGCCTGGGGCCTGGTCTGGACCCCCTCCTGGGCAATATGAAAGCCCGGGCCCTTCTCTCAGGCACGCTGTGAAAAGGCCCATTTGTTTGGCATGGCAGCACATGCGCAGACCAGGCTCTGAGTAGGGATGCATGCTGGCTGTTCTCCTGTCCTGTCTGGCAGGGCTGTGTGTCTTGTCTCTTGCCTTGGATATCCTTGTGCTCACTCCTCCTCTTCCCTCACTCCCCCATCTCTCCTCATCCCTCTCTCCCCGTAGGTTCCCAGCATGCAGAGTTCAGAGGGAGGGTCCGATTCGTCATCCAGTGTGGCGCTGCGTACGTCCACCTCCGCCCAGGCCCCCGTGGTGCAGCCTGTCCCAGCCTCACAACAGGTAAACTACTACACTATCAACAAGGCAGGTCCTACAGGCCCTAGTTTTGTCTCACCTGGACAACTGTTCAGTCGTGTGGTCAGGTGCCACAAAGAGGGACCTCGGAAAATTACAATTGGCTCAGAACAGGGCAGCAAGGCTGGCCCTTAAATGTTTTATGTATTTAGTTTTGTTTTGGTACTTTATACCCCCTTTTCTCCCCAATTTTGTGATATCCAATTGGTAGTTAGTCTAGTCCCATCGCTGCAACTCCCGTATGGACTCCGGAGAGGCAAAGGTCGAGAGCCATGCGTCCTCCGAAACATGACCCTGCCAAGCCGCACTGCTTCTTGACACACTGCTCGCTTAACCCGGAAGCCAGCCGCACCAATGTGTCGGAGGAAACACTGTAGCCACAGGAGTCGCTAGAGCGTGATGGGACAAGGACATCCCGGCCAGCCAAACCCTCCCCTAACCCGGATGACGCTGGACCAATTGTGCGCCGTCTCATGGGTCTCCCGGTCGCAGCCAGCTGCAACACAGCCTGGGATCGAACCCGGATCTGTAGTGACGCCTCAAGCACTGCGATGCATTGCCTTAGACCGCTGCGCCACTCGGGAGGCCCCGTGGCCCTTAAATGTACACGGAGAGCTAACATTAATAATATGCATGTAAATCTCTCATGGCTCAAAGTGGAGGAGAGATTGACTTCATCACTACTTGTTTTTGTAAGAAGTGTTGACATGCTGAATGCACCGAGGTGTCTGTTTTTAAACTACTAGCACACAGCTCGGACACCCATGCATACCCCCACAAGACACCAGAGGTCTCTTCACAATCCCCAAGTCAAGAACAGACTATGGGAGGTGCACAGTACTACATAGAGCCATGGCTACATGGAACTCTATTCCACATGAGGTAACTGATGCAAGACGTAGAATCAGATTTTTAAAAACGGATAAAAAATACACCTTATGGAACAGCGGGGACTGTGAAGAGACACACGCTTACACATACACATGGATTGTGTATTATAGGTATGTGGTAGTAGAGTGGTGGCCTGAGGGAACACAATGTGTAGTGAAAAGTGTTATGAAATGTAATCTAGTATTTTAAATTGTGTATATAACTGCCTTAATGTTGCTGGACCCCAGGAAGAGTAGCTGCTGCCTTGGCACCAGCTAATGGGGATCATTAATAAATCAATACACAAAACCAGGCTGTACTCTCTCACATGCAGCGCAGTGGGTCTTTCTCACTCAACCATAACTCTACCTCACAGTACTAGGGCTGTGGCGGTCATTACATTTTGTCAGCCGGTTATTGACCGTTAATTAACACGTTTAGCATCTCTAGGCCTCCACACATACAAGCCACTGATGTGCGCCTTTGGAACATCTACATAAAAAAAATTATAATCACATTTTTTAATAAACATCACAATAAATCCATTATGTATTTTAGTCGGGTGTAAAGAAACATTATGATATGAATAAAAAATATGCTAAAAAATGACTAAAATGTATTTCAGAAAAACAGAGTAGGAGTTAGCCTAATGTAGGCCTATGTTATCTGGCTATGCTCCATGCCATAGGCTGTAGGCTTGTTCATTTAGCTGACAAGATATGCTTCTAAATCCCGTGACATTATTTTATGATTGTATAGTAAGAAGAATATAATTTAAACTTAGCTGACTAAAATGGTAAGGATCTTTTTCCCATTACAGAGCGAGTGTGCATATGAAGTGGTTATGTTGAGCTAAAAGTGAACATTTGAAACAGGTCCTATATGCTAGATTTAGAGTTATTTGGCAACTTTAGTTGTGAATGATACAAACCTTAGAATGTGTTAGAAATCAAACATATATGGGCTGCATGGTATGACTGTAGGCTATTGATGATTTGAGAAAGTAGCAAAAAAAGCTTGAGCTCTGTTCCTTGCCTCAGGCTGCACAGCTGTTCTCTCATCAAGTGATCATATTTTCACCCATCAGACTATTCTCAATTTAATCTACTCTTTACTAATATGTAAAATTAGTTTAGATTTAGAATGGCCCACCATCAAATGAGCAGGGGAAAAAATACATGTCATCTGTATGCACTCGAATAGCGAATGGAGGCCGCGTCGGTCCGTTTTGTAGGCTACTTCGGGTTTATAGCAGAGCATGAGCTTAATATGAGCAGCTAGGGCTGGGCGGTATACCGTATTTTACGATATACCGGTATTGATGTACAGACCGGTTTGGGTTTTTACTTTACCTTCTGTAACGGTATTTGAATGTTTAGTTTGTTAAATGTGATACTGTGTGTAACATCTATTTTTATAGTTTACTTCGCTACTTGAGTATCTCTCCGCTCTCTCTCTCTCCATGCCGCTTTCCACACTGACATAGCCCCGCCCCTGTCACTCGAGCGCATTTGTTGTTCCTCGACCACTAGACTTTTGCGTTCAGTCTGCGTGCTCAATGCAGCACATGCAACAGTATTAATGACAAGGATGCTGTTTTCACTTTGCTTCTTAATATAAATCCACTAGCGTTCTATAATTACATTGTAGTTTGTGTTTCTTACATCTGCAAACTGCTAATTTTGTATTTTATTAGCAAGTTGGGCCTAAATCTTGTTAGCCGCTAATTGTTAGCTGCTAATGCTAATCGCTAGCTAGCTAGCTAATAAATGTAAGAGTAAGAGCAAATGTAATTAGCTACAGTGGGGAGAACAAGTATTTGATACACTGCCGATTTTGCAGGTTTTCCTACTTACAAAGCATGTAGAGGTCTGTAATTTTTATCATAGGTACACTTCAATTGTGAGAGACGGAATCTAAAACAAAAATCCAGAAAATCATATTGTATTATTTTTTAAGTAATTAATTTGCATTTTATTGCATGACATAAGTATTTGATCACCTACCAACCAGTAAGAATTACGGCTCTCACAGACCTGTTAGTTTTTCTTTAAGAAGCCCTCCTGTTCTCCACTCATTACCTGTATTAACTGCACCTGTTTGAACTCGTTACCTGTATAAAAGACACCTGTCCACACACTCAATCAAACAGACTCCAACCTCTCCACAATGGCCAAGACCAGAGAGCTGTGTAAAGACATCAGGGATACAATTGTAGACCTGCACAAGGCTGGGATGGGCTACAGGACAATAGGCAAGCAGCTTGGTGAGAAGGCAACAACTGTTGGCGCAATTATTAGAAAATGGAAGAAGTTCAAGATGACGGTCAATCACCCTCGGTCTGGGGCTCCATGCAAGATCTCACCTCGTGGGGCATCAATGATCATGAGGAAAGTGAGAACTACACGGCAGGACCTGGTCAATGACCTGAAGAGAGCTGGGACCACAGTCTCAAAGAAAACCATTAGTAACACACTACGCCGTCATGGATTAAAATCCTGCAACGCACGCAAGGTCCCCCTGCTCAAGCCAGCGCATGTCCAGGCCCGTCTGAAGTTTTCCAATGACCATCTGGATGATCCAGAGGAGGAATGGGAGAAGGTCATGTGGTCTGATGAGACAAAAATAGAGCTTTTTGGTCTAAACTCCACTCACCGTGTTTGGAGGAAGAAGGATGAGTACAACCCCAAGAACACCATCCCAACCGTGAAGCATGGAACTGGAAACATCATTCTTTGGGGATGCTTTTCTGCAAAGGGGACAGGACGACTGCACCGTATTGAGGGGAGGATGGATGGGGCCATGTATCGCGAGATCTTGGCCAACAACCTCCTTCCCTCAGTAAGAGCATTGAAGATGGGTTGTGGCTGGGTCTTCCAGCATGACAACGACCCGAAACACACAGCCAGGGCAACTAAGGAGTGGCTCCGAAAGAAGCATCTCAAGGTCCTGGAGTGGCCTAGCCAGTCTCCAGACCTGAACCCAATAGAAAATCTTTGGAGGGAGCTGAAAGTCCGTATTGCCCAGCGACAGCCCCGAAACCTGAAGGATCTGGAGAAGGTCTGTATGGAGGAGTGGGCCAAAATCCCTGCTGCAGTGTGTGCAAACCTGGTCAAGACCTACAGGAAACGTATGATCTCTGTAATTGCAAACAAAGGTTTCTGTACCAAATATTAAGTTCTGCTTTTCTGATGTATCAAATACTTATGTCATGCAATAAAATGCAAATTAATTACTTAAAAATCATACAATGTGATTTTCTGGATTTTTGTTTTAGATTCTGTCTCTCACAGTTGAAGTGTACCTATGATAAAAATGACAGACCTCTACATGCTTTGTAAGTAGGAAAACCTGCAAAATCGGCAGTGTATCATATACTTGTTCTCCCCACTGTATACAGCCTGATAATACCAGTGAAGGTGTAGACCTAAATCAGCATGTTGTTTGTGCAACAGTACCTTCTAAATCAAAGAGGAATACGCAAAGCAAGAATGTTAGCTACATGAAGTAGCTAAGAGAACATTCAATGTAGCCAAATATTATAGGGTCCCCTAGGAAACACTTAAGTGATAATGCCAGAGAAGCCTGTGTTTTGGAGGATATATTGGCACGGGTGTTGTTTGTTGAGGGACGGCAAACCGTGCCAATATATCCTCCAAACACCGGCTTCGAGGGCATTATCACTTTTGTACAACGGGTTACCAACATATTCAAATAATGATTGACATATTTTCATTAAACGTTATTTTGATGAATTTATTCATACTATTTAATCCTTCCACAAGATGTAGTCCCGACACAAATCTAGGGCTGCTACCCAAGCCGGCTGGTCGTTCGTTATATCGGTTGCCAGAGACGCGACCCAGTCGTTCGTTCTAAATGTTCCATTGCCATATTGGCCGGCAACATTCTTATCCCTTGCTTGCTAGCTAGCCAACTACGGCTAATTTATAGTAACGTCAAACAGTGTAGCCAGAATAACAACAGTAGTTGCATTTGTTTTAAGCTGTTTTCTAGTGACATTTATTTGGATACATCCATAACAATGAGCTAATGAAGCGCGATGTCGCCTGGCATAGAAAATGTGCTCTCTCGTCATGACACTGTTGTTCAGAGGAGCTAGACAAGAACACAGCTAACACAATTACTTCAAACTGAAGCTGGAAAGACTGCAAACTAGCTGCACTTTGTTTCGTTTGACCTTTCTTTCAATTTATATTGATTTGTATATATCCATTAAAATGATGCCAGCCCGACTCCTGTGGTGGGCTTGGTGCAGTGCACGCTGACACTGTCGCCAGGTGTACGGTGTTTCCTCCGACACATTGGTGCGGCTGGCTTCCGGGTTAAATGGGCATTGTGTCAAGAAGCAGTGCGGCTTGGCTGGGTTGTGTTTCGGAGGACGCACGGCTCTCGACCTTCGCCTCTTCCGAGTCCGTACAGGAGTTGCAGCGATGGGTCAAGACTGTAACTACCAATTGGATACCACAAAATTGGGGAGAAAAAGGGGTAAAAATGATGCCAGCTGACTGGCTGAGAAACGCTGCCTGCCTGTCTGTCTCGTCCAGACTCCCGACACGTTCATTACTATGGGACAGCTGGAGATAAAAATTTAATATTGAAACAATGTTGCAAATGTCGGAGACGGAGGCAAGGTTTTTACAAATCTCTGCTGTTGAAAACTAAATGTTACTCTAAAATAAATGAGATAATGTCTAGATGCTTTTTTATAGTCGAGATCAAGTTTATAAATTGCCTGGCTGGGCTGATGAGACAATGGATTGCACAGTCAGATGGAGCAGAATAAATCAGCATTTTAAGATCATAGATTTAGCCGGTGGTAACTTGTGGAATAGACACCGGCTGGAATGCGGTTTTAACCAATCAGCATTCGGGATTAGAACCACCCGTTGTCAACAATTGTCAACATCCTACCATATCACAATAACTCCTCCCTGGCATTTTCATTCGTTGTCATGTCAAACAACACTATTCAAAGTGGCCACTATTATATTCTAACTATAGAATTTGAATAATCATTCTATTTCCATGATTCCAACAGTTCACCCAAATGTTTTGCTCTAAATCGCAAGTCAAATCACAATTACAACATTTGGTTAAAAATAAGGCCTCGATTGTTTGCCCATATCGTGTAGCCCTACGTGGCAGTGTGGAAATGATCTCGAATGAGTGCAGGAAATGCAGAAATTGCTGAACGTTTAATTGAACAGTATAAAACAATCAGAATGGAGAAAGACCCATTTGAAATCACTTAGAATGTATGCGTTACCACCCTGTCATACCGTCCAATTTAAAAAAAAAATACCGTGATATGATATTTGGGCCATATTGCCCAGCCCTATGAGCAGCTGAGAAATAAATATAAGAACACTTATTTCACGCCACGCATCAACCACTGTTTGAGGAGCATGCACTCTCTGCCCGACAGGTGATATTCCGCCTAAACTCTGTATGCCATGGGGTCTCCAACTTTGTTCCTGCAGCTACCCAGTGCTTAATTTGGGAAACCAAGTGAAATCTGTTCATGAACATCGATAGTAACATGTTTTCAAAACTAAACATATTTCACTAAACTGTTGACAGCCCGTCTGCACGCTCTGGAAAGGCATAAAGGAGAGAGAGGAGGAGATGGAAACGCATGGTGGTGAGATATTCTGTATAGCCAATTTAATGATGGAAATATAAAAAATACCCTTACCAGGCTATTAAAAATCAAATTCACTAATTGTAGGCTAACAGTAAGCTACCCTGCACAATCAATGAACCAACAGCATTGCCTAGGGCTATACATTCTCTCCCAGACTCATGGATTGACATTTTGGAGCGTAGCATAAGGTAACCAGTCCATCCAGTATGCATAATAATACGGTCCACACTCAAAGGCGATTATTCAAATTTGTTTAATTTTGGAGTATAGGCTAGACCAATTATGTACCAAAGACATCTTAAATCAGTTTTGTTTTAGTTTTTTGCCATGCGGAATATGTAGTAGGCTTTGTATAATGGCACAATCATAATTTTAATTCAGGATTTATTTTTCTGGCTTGGGCTCATAAGCCTATGCATAAGCTCTAATATGCGTATGAGAGTTTTGAATCAATCATCACCTTAGAAAGCACTGCCCATTTCATTGTGTTAGTCTTTGAAACAACATCCACAACAACCATGTTTTACACTGTTTCAACCTGCTGTTGAACTTCTTTCTTCAAATTGATCATCACAGTTATGTGAGTTTTAAAAGTATGATAGGCCTACTGTTTTGATAAGTGTTTGATGTGATTTTCAATTGCATCTGCATTGATGTCAGAGTGGTTAGAGGGACAATAGAGCCCGGAGTACCAGGCCATTAGGACCTGATGGTAGTTAGCAAGTTGGGTACTACCAAGGCATGTCCAGAGTTCATAAAAGGAGATTACCGTGACTCAACGGTCACGTGGAATTTTACTGTGGTCATGACTCATGACTGCCGGTGTGGCAGTAATATGGTCACTGCAACAGCCCTACACAGTACGCTACATCACAGCATCCCACCTCACTCCCAACACACAATATTCTCCCCAGGGGAGCCAAGCCCCTCACACAATGTACTGGGAAAGAGCAGCAGAATGTTAAAAGGGAATTCTCAACAGATGTATTATACTGCAGAGCAATCCTTTTAATGTGAATTTATTTCCAGTGTACAGTATATTAAGAACCACCAAAATATATCAACAAGCATTAGCCTAGATGTGGCTGAAGGCATCATGAATCATTTGATATCATGTTGTCGTGTGTGATCAGATCTGGCTAGGCAGGAGTTTCTGATCAGTACAAGTAGGACCTGTAACCTTGTATTGCCACAGCTGTTCGGGGAAAAGGACATTGGTCGACGAGAGAATCCGTAGAAACCAAGCAGTAAATATCCTTATGTTAATATTTTTGGATAGTGCATTGTATGTGCCTTGACAGCTGGCTATGCTTGAGAGAAGCCATTGCTGAACTATATGCCTATACTACACCACAGTCTGCCTCTCACATACTGTATCTCAGGCTCTTAGAGGGAAACATATTTTAGTTGTCATGAACACACATCTCCATTAACACTCCCCTGAAGAGGGATACCAGGAGTGGTCGTCTGCGACCGCCAAAGAAAAACGTTGGATCCAAACGAACATACATTGTGGTCGCCTGTAATTAGTGAAAGCCTAGAATGGACTTGCACAAAAAGATGTTGGCTGCACTGCTGCTGGATAGGAAATCATTGTATTTCCCACCAGCATTCACTTCATATTTGTCTTAGTTGACAGAAGAAAGGTTTTGCACAGTATACAGTGAGGAAAAAAAGTATTTAGTCAGCCACCAATTGTGCAAGTTCTCCCACTTAAAAAGATGAGAGAGGCCTGTAATTTTCATCATAGGTACAGGTCAACTATGACAGACAAATTGAGAAAAAGAAATCCAGAAAATCACATTGTAGGATTTTTAATGAATTTATTTGCAAATTATGGTGGAAAATAAGTATTTGGTCACCTACAAACAAGCAAGATTTCTGGCTCTCACAGACCTGTAACTTCTTCTTTAAGAGGCTCCTCTGTCCTCCACTCGTTACCTGTATTAATGGCACATGTTTGAACTTGTTATCAGTATAAAAGACACCTGTCCACAACCTCAAACAGTCACACTCCAAACTCCACTATGGCCAAGACCAAAGAGCTGTCAAAGGACACCAGAAAAAAACAAAATTGTAGACCTGCACCAGGCTGGGAAGACTGAATCTGCAATAGGTAAGCAGCTTGGTTTGAAGAAATCAACTGTGGGAGCAATTATTAGGAAATGGAAGACATACAAGACCACTGATAATCTCCCTCGATCTGGGGCTCCACGCAAGATCTCACCCCGTGGGGTCAAAATGATCACAAGAACGGTGAGCAAAAATCCCAGAACCACACGGGGGGACCTAGTGAATGACCTGCAGAGAGCTGGGACCAAAGTAACAAAGCCTACCATCAGTAACACACTACGCCGCCAGGGACTCAAGTGCCAGACGTGTCCCCCTGCTTAAGCCAGTACATGTCCAGGCCCGTCTGAAGTTTGCTAGAGTGCATTTGGATGATCCAGAAGAGGATTGGGAGAATGTCATATGGTCAGATGAAACCAAAATAGAACTTTTTGGTAAAAACTCAACTCGTCGTGTTTGGAGGACAAAGAATGCTGAGTTGCATCCAAAGAACACCATACCTACTGTGAAGCATGGGGGTGGAAACATCATGCTTTGGGGCTGTTTTTCTGCAAAGGGACCAGGACGACTGATCCGTGTAAAGGAAAGAATGAATGGGGCCATGTAATCGTGAGATTTTGAGTGAAAACCTCCTTCCATCAGCAAGGGCATTGAAGATGAAACGTGGCTGGGTCTTTCAGCATGACAATGATCCCAAACACACCGCCCGGGCAACGAAGGAGTGGCTTCGTAAGAAGCATTTCAAGGTCCTGGAGTGGCCTAGCCAGTCTCCAGATCTCAACCCCATAGAAAATCTTTGGAGGGAGTTGAAAGTCCGTGTTGCCCAGCGACAGCCCCAAAACATCACTGCTCTAGAGGAGATCTGCATGGAGGAATGGGCCAAAATACCAGCAACAGTGTGTGAAAACCTTGTGAAGACTTACAGAAAACGTTTGACCTGTGTCATTGCCAACAAAGGGTATATAACAAAGTATTGAGAAACTTTTGTTATTGACCAAATACTTATTTTCCACCATAATTTGCAAATAAATTCATTAAAAATCCTACAATGTGATTTTCTGGATTTTTTCTCTCTCATTTTGTCTGTCATATTTGACGTGTACATATGATGAAAATTACAGGCCTCTCTCATCTTTTTAAGTGGGAGAACTTGCACAATTGGTGGCTGACTAAATACTTTTTTTCCCCACTGTACATATAATAAGGAAGGATATTCTACCAAAAGTCATGTAGAAATTCCAGTCAAATTCCCTGTTTCGTTTGTGATTTTCTGGTGCTCTTTAGGGGCTTAAGGATTTGTATTTTTTCTTTTTTTGTGTCGATTGGCATAGTGTGTGTTTGCTTGTGCATCTTATGTGCTTACCAATAATGGTGCGTGTCCTCTCCACCCAGAGAGTGCTGGTTCAGGCCACAGGCTCGGCCCAGAAGGGAGCGCAGGTGCAGCAGCTGTCAGTCCCCCGGGTGCAACAGGTCCCTCAGCAGGTACACACTATCATCACCACCCCTCCTTCCTTCTCTCCAGCTCCCAGGACACTCAGTCAGTCAGGCTTTATCCACACGCACAGCATGGCTCCAGCACAGTAGCATCAGACATATTGATACCGATCACATTCTCCACTGTATTGTAAGCTTTGTTGCTTTTGAATGGTATGGGTTTCTAACTGATATAATTGCTGTTAGATCTCAATCTGTTGTGCTTCAAGTGCTCAGCATGGATTTTCTTTATTCTCAGTATGACACTTTGGTCCCACTGCCACCTACTGCCAGTACTGTGGTAATATATGATCAAGATAATGATTATGGAAGACATGAGTTACTCTGTTTCTTTTGATTACTAACAAGCATAGGATATCTATCTAATTTCAAGGAATGAAAAACAGCCTAGAAGTGGATACTCCCTCTTGATGATAATGCTCAAAGGTTGTGTTTCTCTCTCCATAGGTCCAGCAGATCCATCATGTCTACCCCTCCCAGGTTCAATATGTAGGAGAGGGAGGAGAAACAGTTTACACTAATGGAACCATGTAAGTACTGCGGTGCTCTTCATTTAAGGCAATGGAACGTGTTCCAGCTGCCTTTAAAATACTTCTAAATAGAATACCATTAAAAGATGCACTATGCAGAAATCGCTCCGCCATTTCCTGGTTGCTAAAATTCTAATAGTTTGGCCTATTTTCAGTTTGTGACAAAACAAGCAAGTATAGTGTAGAGAATCATTGTACCATCTAAACCGCTGTGAAAAATATTTTCCATAACCAAAAATATTATATTTTCAGCTGTTGGAAGCTGGTGTACCAAAAACGAAACCGATCTACCGCTTCTTAGACTTGCTTTCAATGAGTGACAAATCTATAACACATATTTCTATGTGAATTTGGTCGAGTCACCCAAAAGGTTACATATTGCAGCTTTTAAAGCTAATTGAACCCCTAACGTGAGATTGTAGATGTGTAATATTATAATAGAAACACAAACTAAGTGAATGTAATGTTATGTGATTGCTGTTTCATTCTGTATAGATCTGAGGTCATACCTTTACATTATGGCACCTCTCTCCCTAGCCGGACAGCCTACTCCTATAACCCTGAGGCCCACCTGTATGGCCAGGGCAGTGGAGGAGCCTATTTTGACTCTCAGGGCGGGGGTGCCCAGGTCACCACGGTGGTCTCCTCTGCCAGCGGTGTGCCGCCCCACGGCATGGTGGGCATCGCCATGGATGTGGGCGGCAGTCAGATCATCTCAGGCGGCAGCACCTACCTGATCCACGGCGGGGGCATGGAGGGAGGCCGCCACCACGCCTCACACTCCTCCCGTTCCTCCTCCGCTATGGTGAGCACCTTGGATGAGTTGCATATACTCTGTGTCCTTGTTGGGACTTAAGGATTTAGTAGGAAGAATTATGTTTCCAGTCCAGTAGGTATCTCCGTGAAATTATTATGATGTGATTATGTAAGTCCATCAAACCTGATGGAATAGAAGAGGCACCAACACCTTTAGAAATGAATGCCCATGTCTGAGAGTCAGTTATTCCAACTCATCCCAAACATGAGGGATGGTTTATGGTTTCCATTACTAAACTGCTTTTTAAGCCGTGCATGGATGAAAGTATTCTCTATGAAGTGTGTATAAATCATTAGTTACACCAACAAACAAATTGCCCTGCCGTAGCAGACACATTCCCTGCCTTGCGCTGCTGTGCCTGTGACGCACACTGGTGTGCCTTTCCTCACCGCTGCCTGCCTGGCCGATCTACTGAGCCTCAGGGAAACCTGAGTATGGGGGTGGGCCTCAGCCTTCCCAGTGCCCAATGGAGTTACGAGAGAAGCGGGACAGGGGAAGCAAGGCGCAAGCTGGTTTAAGTAATTCAGCTATGCCTTGTTTTGGAGTATTTCACAGGCACTTGTGCGCCCTGCAAAACAAAGCAACCCCTGGGCCTCATTACCATTTGGCCAACAGCCCTTGGGAGCCTTTTTAAGGCTTTGGAAGGATGCCAGGTTTTTTTTTTTCTCAAGTTTGGCCGCTATAACACACATCTTTCTGTGGGTGTTTCCCCCCCCCCCCCCCCCCCCTCTTTTCTTTTACCCCCTAAGCTTTAAAGCCCATGGTTTTGTAATTCGCTATGCCTGCTAGTTTAACTCCTATTTTCTCTAGTCCATGAGACTGCAGAAAAAAAGTCTAAATTATCTGGTAAATTCATTGAAATGGTCCCTTTGGGATAACAAATGGAAAGAAAATATGGGGGATGATATAAAATATGGAAATCTGTTGCTCCTGTAGGAAAACATTTCTATTAGGACAGTATTTGTGTTTATAAATGGGTTTCAACAGTGACTTTTACATATAACTTCTCAAGTTTTGCATTGTGTGATGATTTTCTTTGGGTGTTAGGTGGAATTTGTTGACTCATTGTCATCGAGCATGGTGTGACCCGTGGCCCTGATTGCAGAGTTAATTTGCATATGTTAGTGTCAGACAAGGAGGGCCTTCAGTCAGCAGCTTAACCCCTTGAGTCCCTCTCATTTGCATGCTTTTTCAGCCAATAATGAATTTGGCCGCAACACTGACAGTGTAATGGAAATGCAGAGATCTGGCTGCTGCTAACCTTCTTATTTCCTTTCTGTTTTGTGTTTTTGTTTTTCCCTGTCTACCCCCCTTCTTTCATTTTCCTCATTTTTTTTCTTCCTCCTGTTTCATTTTTTGCATGCTCATTTTTTTTCTTTAGCTTGAAATGGCGATTGAAAACCTCCAAAAGTCGGAAGGGATTGCAACTCACAAAAGCAGCCTGCTCAACAGCCATGTAAGTCAATCAGGAACTTTCTTTGAAAAGGACAAGAAAGACCTGCCTTTGTCTCCCTGGCGCTACCTTACCTCTTCACTGTGATCTTTTCTCTTTCTGATGAAGGGTACATACTTACAGACTACTGCTAGCCTCAGTGTGCTGTGACCCAAAACACTACATTGTCTGACCAGAGATGTTCTTTGCATCTGCTGCCACTTGTTTCTCAACAACAACTTATTGATTGGGGGACTTGCTGCTGGCTGAGCTTGCCTTGTCCTTGTCTTGACAGAAGCTACACATGTATTTAACCTGTTGCTTTTTCAGATTCTCCATCCTCCACATGGTGACAGCTACGTGATTGTTATAGCCACATAACGCCCTCCACCTTTTTCTACTGTCAGTGAAGCACACATTCCCACTCGAATCAAGACACACTCACTATTTGTCAACAATTACATGTTGTATAATGTGAGTCGGTGTGTTGGCGACACATCTCCATAATAACAGTGTGATATGGTAATGAGATGCAGTACTACTTGACTCTACTTTATTACTCCATCAGAGCTGCCATTCAAACCAGCTATTTTATTAGACGTTAGGGGGTTTATTCTCCATTCCAGTTCTTAACCATCGGTCACCTCTAGAATCTCTATATTATCAAGCAGCTCCTGACAGTCATATTATTGTCATCAACTCCACGCTGTGTCTGTCACACTCAGTCTGGCCACCCTGTATATTGAGATAAATATCCATGTGTTTTATATTTCTTCTTTTTACGTACCATTCACCATCCACACAGACGGGTAAATCATTGTATCTACCCTGTTGGGGAATAGGGGACAGCAGAGTTCTATTTGTCTCTAGTGGACAGGTATAAAATGAGTGAGCAATTATCACATTAAATATACTCATTCACTCCCTCTGACAGTTTTAACCCAAAATCTAAATTCTCTCTCTCATGTTTAAACTCACTAAACAGGTGGTTGGAGTGTGTGTGTGTTTCTGCTCTCTGTTGATGTGGTAATAGAAGATGGTGCACTCTCTCTCCCTCTGGTTGGGCAGACAGCTGCAGGATTGGAGTAGGGTTGAATATTTTCCCGGTATTTTACAAATGTTCCATCCTGAGAATAGATCATTTTCCTCCCAGGTAACCCAGTATTTCCCGCCAAAACCAGAAGTGTCATTCAAAAGCATTATAAAGCACATAAATGTCTGGATTTGATAAGAGCTTTGAACAGCATGAAAATTCTAACCTGATGCTACCTGAGCCTGATTAGCCTTATATTAAATACATTTTATGAGCCCTACATTAACGACATTTAATGAGCCCAAGCCCAAAAAATACCAAATGATTGTACCGTTATCCAATAAATATATGATATAGGCTACTGCACATTAAGCACGACAGAAAAACATAAAAGCACATACAGTTGAAGTCGGAAGTTTACATACACTTAGGTTGGAGTCATTAAAACTTGTTTTTTCAATCACTCCACAAATTTATTTTTAACAAACTAGTTTTGGCAAGTCGGTTAGGACGTACTTTGTGCATGACACAAGTAATTTTTCAAACAATTGTTTACAGTCAGATTATTTCACTTATAATTCACTGTATCACAATTCCAGTGGGTCAGAAGTTTACATACACTAAGTTGACTGTGCCTTTAAACAGCTTGGAAAATTCCAGAAAATGATGTCATGGCTATAGAAGCTTCTGATAGGCTAATTGACATCATTTGAGTCAATTGGAGGTGTACCTATGGATGTATTTCAAGGCCTACCTTCAAACTCAGTGCCCCTTTGCTTGACATCATTAGAAAATCAAAAGAAATCAGCCGACCTCAGAAAAGACCTCCACAAGTCTGGTTCATAATTGGGAGCAATTTCCAAACGCCTGAAGGTACCACATTCATCTGTACAAACAATAGTACGCAAGTATAAACACCATGGGACCACGCAGCCGTCATACCGCTCAGGAAGGAGATGTGTTCTGTCTCCTAGAGATGAACATACTTTGGTGCGAAAAGTGCAAATCAATCCCAGAACAACAGCAAAGGACCTTGTGAAGATGCTGGAGGAAACAGGTACAAAAGTATCTATATCCATAGTAAAACGAGTCCTATATCGACATAACCTGAAAGGCCGCTCAGCAAGGAAGAAGCCAAAACCGCCATAAAAAAGCCAGACTACGGTTTGCAACTGCACATGGGGACAAAGATCGTACTTTTTTGAGAAATGTCCTCTGGTCTGATGAAACAAAAATAGAACTGTTTGGCCATAATGACCATTGTTATGTTTGGAAGAAAAAGAGGGGGAGCTTGCAAGCCGAAGAACACCATCCCAACCGTGAAGCACGGGGGTGGCAGCATCATGCTGTGGGGGTGCTTTGCTGCAGGAGTGACTAGGATCTAGTTCTCAAAATAGATGGCATCATGAGAAAGGAAAATTATGTGTATATATTGAAGCAACAGCTCAAGACATCAGTCAGGAAGTTAAAGCTTGGTCGCAAATGGGTCTTCCAAATAGACAATGACCCCAAGTATACTTCCAAAGTTGTGGCAAAATGGCTTAAGGACAACAAAGTCAAGGTATTGGAGTGGCCATCACAAAGCCCTGACCTCAATCCTATAGAAAATGTGTGGGCAGAACTGAAAAAGCGTTTGCGAGCAAGGAGGCCTACAAACCTGACTCGGTTACACCAGCTCTGTCAGGAGGAATGGGCCAAAATTCCCCCAACTTATTGTGGGAAGCTTGTGGAAGGCTACCCGAAACGTTTGACCCAAGTTAAACAATTTAAAGGCAATGCTACCAAATACTAATTGAGTGTATGTAAACCTCTGACCCACTGGGAATGTGATGAAAGAAATAAAAGCTGAAATAAATCATTCTCTACTATTATTCTGACATTTCACATTCTTAAAATAAGTGGTGATCCTAACTGACCTAAGACATGGAATTTTTACTAGGGTTAAATGTCAGGAATTGTGAAAAACTGAGTTTAAATGTTTTTGGCTAAGGTGTATGTAAACTTCCGACTTCAACTGTAGATGTAGCTAGCTATAGGCTCCAGTAGGCTAATCTGTCTGCGTTGAACTTTATTATTATTGTATTATATGGGCTGGAATTACGCACATCGTTCAAACCACGATAAAGTGGAAGAGAACATGCAATTCTGGTGCAGCACATGCAGCCTACAAAGTAACATGTATAGGCTAGCGAATTTGATTTTAATTTTGAAATATAATAGGGCCTATTTGTATAATAAGTAGGCTGATGCATATATACCTTTCATAATATTTCCCATTTTTTAGCCTACCTCTTTCTCTCTCGTTGCTTCATTCTTTTCTCGCTTTCAACATTTAAATGAAATAAGTTTTGTTGTCCTTATCTTAATCATTTTAATGACATCCTTGAATAATATACAGTAGGACTGGAATTTGATCCAAAATGTTTTCACTTCTCTTCACGAAGATTGAATAGTTATGGGTCTGAATAAATAACTGCTATGGCTTACCGCCATCGCACATTCGCTCTTCTTTCAAACTACCCGTGAGTTCTATTGGCTGCTGTATTTAACATTCAGCCAAAAAGAACTTGCGTCCTCTTCGAATAGTCTATTGGTATAAGAAATGCACACAAAAAAAAAGTATGCCGCATTGAAGGTCCCCAAGAACACAGTGGCCTCCATCATTCTTAAACGGAAGAAGTTAAGAACCACCAAGACTCTTCCTAGAGCTTGCCGCCCGGCCAAACTGAGCAATTGGGGGAGAAGGGCCTTGGTCATGGAGGTGACCAAGAACCCAATAGTCACTGACAGAGCTCCAGAGTTCCTCTGTGGAGATGGGAGAACCTTCCAGAAGGACAACCATCTCGGCAGCACTCCACCAATCAGGCAGAGTGGCCAGATGGAAGCCGCTCCTCAGTAAAAGGCACATGACAGCCTGCTTGTAGTTTGCCAAAAGGCATCTAAAGTACTCAGACCATGAGAAACAAGATTCTCTGGTCTGATGAAACCAAGATTGAACTCTTTGGCCTGAATTCCAAGCGTCACGTCTGGAGGAAACCAGGCACCATCCCTACGGTAAAGCATGGTGGTGGCAGCATCATGCTGTGGGGATGTTTTTCAGCGGCAGGGACTGGGAGACTAGTCGGGATCGAGGGAAAGATGAACGGAGCAAAGTACAGAGAGATCCTTGGTGAAAACCTGCTTCAGAGCGCTCAGGACCTCAGACTGGGGCAAAGGTTCACCTTCCAACAGGACAATGACCCTAAGCACACAGCCAAGACAACGCAGGAGTGGCTTTGGGACAAGTCTCTGAATGTCCTTGAGTGGCCCAGCCAGAGCCCGGACTTGAACCCAATCGAACATCTCCATAGAGACCTGAAAATAGCTGTGCAGCGACGCTTCCCATCCAACCTGACAGAGCTTGAGAGGATCTGCAGAGAAGAATGGGAGAAACTCCCCAAATACAGGTGTGCCAAGCTTGTAGCGTCATACCCAAGAACACTCAAGGCTGTAATCGCTGCCAAAGGTGCTTCAACAAAGTACTGAGTAAAGGGTCTGAATACTTATGTAAATGTGATATTTTAGTTTCTTATTTTAAATACTTTTGCAAACATTTCTAAAAACCTGTTTTTGCTTTGTCATTATGGGGTATTGTATGTAGATTGATGGGGGAAAAACAATTTAATCAATTTTATAATATGGCTGTAACGTAATATAAATGTGGAAAAAGTCAAGAGATACTTTCCGAATGCATTGTATTTTGGATGCAATTTTCAATGGAGTTGATGGAGAGAGCGAGGGACTGCGAGAGAGTGCTCGTACGTGCAGTGATTTAAAGCAACGATATTCGAGTGATAGGCTGTTTTTTAAAACTCTACAGCTGCAATAAAACAAAAAAATAATATTTTTACAATTTAAAAAAACAATGTGACCTCTGAAAGCCAGATGGATGGGTAAATTAAATGCGCGTTCGGTCTTTATATTACTGTAACATAGGCTATGCTGCAGCAAGTGTAGGCCTACCTGTCACAAGAAAAAAAGTTACCATGAGATGATAGGTCTACATGCATTGTGAACTGCACACCATACTCAGATGGGTCTGTCCCCACCCTGAGTGTTTCTTCATAATGCAGAGGCCGTAGTGAACCCAGATTTAGACATCGCATATAATATAACAGTTCCATTTCACGCCATGTTGTTCATATGAATAATAATTTACCGGTGTCTCAGTTATTTATCCTGGGGAAAAAGGAGTGGTTTTGGCCGCTAAATCTCGGTAACCGGGTTCCCGCCATTCCACGCTAGGATGGAGGTGTACTGTAAGGATCAGAGTGCAGCAGACATGGCCCATTAGGTGTGACTAACTGTGTTTCTGTGCTGTGTGTGTTTAGCTGCAGTGGCTGCTGGATAACTATGAGACAGCGGAGGGGGTGAGCCTGCCCCGGAGCTCCCTCTACAACCACTACCTGCGCCACTGTCAGGAGCAGAAACTGGACCCGGTCAACGCTGCCTCCTTCGGGAAACTCATCCGCTCCGTCTTCATGGGCCTCAGGACCCGCCGTCTCGGCACTAGGTAAGACCATGATGATAAGGGTGAGGGTGATGAAGAGCAGGATAGTGTTAATGATGGATTGGAATGATTGATTGATGTGGTGATAATTAGTATTTATTCTGATAAGACTGATTACAAAGCTGACTACAATATTTGCTTATTAACCCCCGATGTTCCTGTTTGTTCCAGGGGCAACTCCAAATACCACTACTATGGCATCAGACTGAAGCCAGACTCCCCACTCAACAGACTGCAAGAGGACTCTCAGTACATGGCCATGAGACAGCAGCCTGTGCACCAGAAACAAAGGTGAGCCCTCCCTCTCACATCCTCCTCTTCTCTAGTTCTCTTTAATCTGTCCATACTGTCAGCCAGAACTTTAATCAAGTTCATTTTTAGCTTTAAAAAAAAAAAAGATTTGACTTCATGTCCCCTGCCTCTGCCCAAATAACTTTTGTGGATTTTTAAATGCTTCTCTGCAGCAGAGTGAAATGGTGCACTCACCCATATTTCAGATACATGCTTTATTTAACCTCTCACACCTGTCTTCATTCTCCACCCTCTCCTCTCCACTGTTCTTTTGTGCTTCCTCTCCTCTCCCAGTCATCCATTAGTTCTTCCCAGCCCCACCCAACATAGCTGTGCTGCCCTCTCCCCTCTCCGCAGGTTCAAGCCCCTCCAGAAGGTGGATGGCATGGGGGACAGCCTGTCAGGAGGCTCCCAGCATTCAGCCAGCACCCCAGAGCAGTCTGTGGCAGCCCAGAGCCAGCACCATCAGCAGTACATTGGTAAGGAGCGCCGCTAGCCACACTAACACTCAGACAGAGCATCAGGTCCCCTGTACCAAAACGGAGCTCACATTAATGCCATAGTTTGTGAACACAGGATAAAACTGTGGTGATTTTTAAAAATCACCTCACTTCAAAGGATTATTAGACACCACTTTGTTGTTTGGGATTTAACCGTGTGTCATTGTGTCTGCAGATGTGTCCCATGTCCTGCCCCCGTTCCCAACCCCTGACCTAGGCACCCAGCCCCTCCCCGAGCGCATCAACATGAACGATGTGAAGAAGTTGCAGAACCTGTACAGGGACCACTGTGAGGTACGTACACAACAGCGCCAACTAGCTGCAAACTCTGCACTGCTCTGGTGTGGTCTGGTCTGGTGCAACAAGCGCTGCCAGAGAGAGAGGCTGCAGCCATCAACAGGTGTCCCGTTCAATGTTCTTTCTAAGCCACACAGCTCCTGGAGACTAGAATTTGCTAGCCCACGTAGATGAACGAGATTGATCTTCACTAAAATGTATACTAGCTTTCCTTATTTGCTGTGGAAATTGGGATTGAATCAACATAATCAATATTTTTCTGTGAAACAAACCAAATGTAACTTCATGACTGAGTTGGTGATTTTGTTTTAGGCTGAGGAGCAGTTTTGTTCTCTTATAAGTGTTTTTTTCCATCACCCCCGATCGGAGAGTAGCCTATATGCGCATTTGAGATCCCAGAGCAGCGTGTAGCCGCGTGTGCACATTTGTTGATATTCTTTGCTAGTTAGTGAGTTACTAGCCCGGTTATAGCTAATTTTGGTCAGGAATGGGGGAGTTTTTGCTTCCTACAAGAGCACAAAACTTGAACATACAGTGCCTTCAGAAAGTATTCACACCCCTTGACTTTTTCCACAATTTGTTATGTTTCTGTCTGAATTTAAAATGGATTACATTGATATTTTGTGTCACTGGCCTACGCACAATACCCCATAATGTCAGTGGAATTAGGTTTTTAGAAATGTTTACCTGAAATGTATTTAGTCAATAAGTATTCAACCCCTTTGTTATGGCAAGCCTAAATAAGTTCAGGAGTAAAAATGTGCTTAACAAGTCACATAATAAGTTGCATGGACTCACACTGTGTGCAATAATAGTGTTTAACATGACTAGCTCATCTCTACCCCACACATACAATTATCTGTAAGGTACCTCAGTCGAGCAGTGAATTTCAAACACAGATTTGAGACCAGGGAGGTTTTCCAATGCCTCGCAAAGAAGGGCAACTATTGGTAGATGGCAAGAAAAAAAGCAGACATGGAGTATCCCTTTGAGCATGGTGAAGTTATTAATTACACTTTGGATGGATGTATCAATACACCCAGTCACTACAAAGATACAGGCGTCCTTCCTAACTCAGTTGCCGGAGAGGTAGGAAATCGCTCAGGGATTTCACCATGAGGCCAATGGTGACTTTAAAACAGTTACAGAGTTTAATGGCTGTAATGAGAGAACTGAGGATGGATCAACAACATTGTAGTTACTCCACAATACTAACCTAAATGACAGAGTGAAAAGAACGAAGCCTGTACAGGATACAAATATTCCAAAACATGCATCCTGTTTGCAACAAGACACTAAAGTAAAACTGCAAAGAAAGGAACATTATGTCCTGAATACAAAGCGTTATGTTTGGGGCAAATCCAACACAACACAACACAACACATCACTGAGTACCACTCTTTATATTTTCAAGCATGGTGGTGGCTGCATCATGTTATGCGTATGCTTGTCATAGAATAGGGTGTTTTTTATGATAAAAATAAACGTAATAAAGCTAAGCACAGGTAAAATCCTAGAGGAAAACCTGGTTGTCTGCTTTCCAACAGACACTGGGAGACAAATTCACCTTTCAGCATGACAATAACCTAAAACACAAGAACAAATATACACTGGAGTTGCTTACCAAGACGACATTGAATGTTCCTGAGTGGCCTAATTACAGAACCTTACAGATAATTGTATGTGTGGGGTACAGAGATGAGGTAGTCATTCAAAAATCTAGAAATGTTTAATTCATTTGTAAAAATGTCTAACAACAATTCCACTTTGACATTATGGGGTATTGTGTGTAGGCCAGTGACACAAAATCTCAATGTAATCCATTTAAAAATTCAGGCTGTAACACAACAAAATATGGAAAAAGTCAAAGGGTGTGATTACTTTCTGAATCCATGTGGAAATGTTATTGCATTTTCTCCATTGGTTTTGTTGATAGGCCACTCTGATAGGCTTACATTATGCTCAAATAGCCACAATAGCCTATTGGCCACTGTCTGAAACTGTAACTTAAAGTGGGTATAGCCTCTGTGTTCACAGTTCATGTGTGCCGGAAGTTGCACAGAATGTTTGCAAAATTTGTTTCTGCTCACAAGACCTGTAATTTGCTCAGTGCCAAAACATTTGAGGGAATATTGGTCCTGTCCTAGTTTATGTACAGTGGCTGGCGAAAGTATTCACCCCCCTTGGCATTTTTCCTATTTTGTTGCCTTACAACCTGGAATTAAAATTGATTTTTTTGGGGGGGGGTTCGTATCATTTTGATCTACACAACATGCCTACCACTTTGAAGATGCAAAATATTTTTTTGTGAAAACACAACAAATAAAACAAAAAAACAGAACTTGAGCGTGCAGAACTATTCACCCCCCCCCAAAGTCAATACTTTGTATGTCTCTATAAGCTTGGCACATCTAGCCACTGGGCTTTTTGCCCATTCTTCAAGGCAAAACTGCTCCAGCTCCTTCAAGTTGGATGGGTTCCGCTGGTGTACAGCAATTTTTAAGTCATACCACAGATTCTCAATTGGATTGAGGTCTGGGCTTTGACTAGGCCATTCCAAGACATTTCCCCTTAAACCACTCGAGTGTTGCTTTAGCAGAATGCTTAGGGTCATTGTCCTGCTGGAAGGTGAACCTCCGTCCCAGTCTCAAATCTCTGGAAGACTTTCCCTGTATTTAGCGCCATCCATCATTCCTTCAATTCTGACCAGTTTCCCAGTCCCTGCTGATGGGAAAAACATCCCCACAGCATGATGCTGCCACCACCATGCTTCACTGTGGGGATGGTGTTCTCGGGTGATGAGAGGTGTTGGGTTTGCGCCAGACATTTTCCTTGATGGCCAAAAACCTCAATTTTAGTCTCATCTGACCAGAGTACCTTCCTTCCATATGTTTGGGGAGTCTCCCACATGCCTTTTGGCGAACACCAAACGTGTTTGCTTATTTCTTTCTTTAAGCAATGGCGCTTTTCTGGCCACTCTTCCATAATGCCCAGTTCTGTGGAGTGTACGGCTTAAAGTGGTCCTATGGACAGATACTCCAATCTCCGCTGTGGAGCTTTTGCAGCTCCTTCAGGGTTATCTTTGGTCTCTTTGTTGCCTCTCTGATTAATGCCCTCCTTGCCTGGTTCCGTGAGTTTTGGTGGGCGGCCCTCTCTTGGCAGGTTTGTTGTGGTGCCATATTCTTTCAATTTTTTAATAATGGATTTAAAATGGTAGGATGTTCAAAGTTTCGGTTATTCTTTTAGAACCCAACCCTGATCTGTACTTCTCCACAACCTTGTCCCTGGCCTGTTTCGAGAGCTCCTTGGTCTTCGTGGTTTCCCTTGCTTAGTGGTGTTGCAGACTCTGGGGCCTTTCAGAACAGGTGTGTGTGTGTGTGTATATATACTGAGATCATGTGACACTTAGATTGCACACAGGTGGACTTTATTTAACTAATTATGTGACTTCTGAAGGTAATTGGTTGCACCAGATCTTATTTAGGGGCTTCATAGCAAAGGGGGTGAATACATATGCACGCACCACTTTTCCATTATTAATTTCTTAGAATGTTTTGAAACCAAGTAATTTTTTTCACTTCACCAATTTGGACGATTTTGTGTATGTCCATTATGTGAAATCCAAATAAAAATCCATTTAAATTACAGGTTGTAATGCAACAAAATAGGAAAAACGCCAAGGTGGATGAATACTTTTGCAAGGCACTGTATGGGGGGAAGTGACATTTCAGAGCTGGTGCTAGAACCTCCTTAGTTACTGTTGAATGTGGCTGATGAGAATACCAACTCCCTGGATGGGATACAATGATCAGTGAGTGAAATATTTAATGGAAATTTTTGGGGGACTTTTCAAGCTACAGAGAGCGAGAAGGAGAGATACAGAAAGGGAGAGGGCCCTGAAAAGCTTAATTAAAGCGCTGAAGCCGTGGGTTTATCATATTATCCGTGGCCTCCCCCTGTCCAGCCACACCACGCTCCTATTGTTCCAGCCTCCTTTCATCTCAGCGAAGCCTTTAAGACATGCCAATTAACCTTTCAGCGCGCTGGGTGGACATCTTGGTGTCTTTGTGCTCACCTCCCCCTGGGCCTTTGTGTTGCCTTGTCTGTGGATGGGCACATGGGCTCCTGCCTTTATCTTCCCGGTGCATTTCTGTCACTCTCACAGCACTCTGTGTGTGCATTTGAATGTTTATGCGCTTTTTTCTTTGTGAGCAAACAACGATCTGTTAACTTTATACTAGGAGGATTATTAATGGTAATTGAAATTTACACAGCAAATAAAGGTAACAAGTGTACAAAGGACAAATCAAGGTGTAGTTTCAGGAATAACCTATTCCTCACCCTGCATTAAGTGGAAACAAAGCTGTAGATTTTGTATTTGAACATTTGTTCAAGCAAGCAATGCATTAATTATCTCTACACATCCATATTCATTGGCTTTGGCTTCCATACTTGCATTTATTAATGTCAAAGTTGATATTGATAAGAGCCAAATATCCTGTATCAACCACGCCAATTAATCCTGCTGTTGAATCTGAGTTGAATGATAAAATGAGTAATAAAAACTCCAGCCTGAAAGGAATAAATCACAATCAAAACCACATTAAGAAGTGAATGTGTGTTGGGGCAGCGTTAAGGAACCACAGTCCCAGCCTGCTCCTCTTTCTCTCTGCCTCTCTTGCTCTCTGTCTCTCTCCAGCACGCAGTTTTTCCTGTGTGGTGAAACTGGGGAGGTAAAACACTTGTTTGTAGGGGCAGGGGAATTCTCCTTTTTGTTTTGGAGTTCAGTGTTTTAAGCTGTTGCTGGGGCAACGGTAAACACGGTTGCCATGGTGATCCTAGGAGAGGAAGCAAAAACATCATGTGATTGAAGGAAAGCCTATACTGTGCTGGGCTGTAACTGGAGAAGGGGAGCATGTCCTGCCAAAGGAGAATCTCTGGGCATGGTGTGAATCATAGTGAAGAGAGACACTGTGCCACAGAGCACTGATAGATAAAACATACAGCTCACTGCTCATCCGTTACTGTGAGGGTGGCCTGCGGCTTCGCTGTCTAAATGATGTGCTATTAGAACCTACCGTAGGCTATATCTGTGACCTTTGTTGTGTGTACCATCTGGAATGTTATATGAAATTATTTTTTACAAATTCTCACTGAAGTTGTCTCCTTTTAGCCCATGAAGTTACTGGAAACTTGTATAGAGTTAGTAAATCTGTAGTATAATAAATCTGTCATGGATGTGTTGCAGTGGAGTGTTGATTATAGTGTGTAGCACATGCTCTAAGTGAGAGTTCAAACAGGAATGAGGAAGTCACGTGTGGGTGGGGAGTTGAGCCTGCCAATGTCACAGGGAGGTAAACGCTTATAGCACACACTATAATCATTAAGGCCGGGATGATACTAGTATCGCAATATTTTTTTTCCATGGCAAAAATGAAAACACGAAGCAGACAACTCTTTGGTCATTTAAAAACCTGCTGTATGTAAAATATTGTGTGCTTTAGCTTGGAAAATAAATACATGTGACTGGATGACAACATAATGATGTTTGTTTCCAACATTAGGGCTGTTTTCCTAAATAAGTTAAATCCGCTTCATGTTTTGTTTCCTTGCCACGATACCGCGATACTGGTATCATCCTGGCCCTATAATCCATGCTATAAAAAGATTTACATTAAATTCATATTAGTTTAATTCGTAGTAAATATCACTCTCAAATATGATCCTCGTTGTGGTTTGGGATCAATGGGTTGGAAGGAAGGCAGCGTTAAGCTTGGCCTCAGACTCTAACTGAGGGTTCAGTTGGGAGGCTGCTGCAGAGAAACTTTGTGTGTCTGGTTGCCATGGCTCAGCTCTGTGTGTTTTGTCCTCCCCCTCCTCCCCTCCTCTAGGCTACTCTGGATGTGGTGATGAACCTCCAGTTCCACTACATTGAGAAGCTGTGGCAGACCTTCTGGTATTCAACAGCGCCATCTAGTGACGGAACCACCACCATCCCCAACAGGTCAAACAACTGAAGTACTCTATTTTAATTAGGAAAAACATGCAGGCATTATATGTATGTTTTCTGTGATTTTAAAACTGTGCTTTTAGTGATTGTATGTTGTGTGTCTGCAGTGATGAGGACATGGAGGGGGTGATCCCCAGGCAGAAGCTGATTGCGCTGTGCAAGTATGAGCCTGTCAAGCTCTGGATGAGGAACTGTGACCACATCTTGTACCAGGCCCTGGTGGAGATCCTCATCCCCGATGTGCTGCGGCCTGTCCCCAGTACGTTCACCTAAATACCTTCAACACTATTACTACACTTCATCACTGCTACTCCAACTCAAACACATACTCCTCCCTAGTCATTTATATTTATTCAGGTTCTGTTTTGTATTACAGGCACTCTCACTCAGGCCATCCGCAACTTTGCCAAGAGTCTGGAGGGCTGGCTGACCACAGCTATGAGCGACTTTCCCAATGAGATTGTCCGCACCAAGGTACAGAAAACACTCCAACATCCTGATAGTCTCCCTGGATACTCCCAGATATACAGTAGTAACGGTACACTGAGAGACATTCCCTGGTGAAGTCAACCATCTCTCCCCTGTGCGTCTTCTAGGCGGCGGTGGTGAGTGCATTTGCCCAGACCCTGCGTCGGTACACCTCTCTGAACCACTTGGCCCAGGCGGCCCGCGCCGTGCTGCAGAACACCTCTCAGATTAACCAGATGCTCAGCGACCTCAACCGTGTCGACTTCGCCAACGTACAGGTACGCCTTTTACCTATCAACACCTGTTGATAGTTATGACTTCTGACTCTGTGTCTATTCATATGTGTTTGTACCTCCTACTTTGTATATCCTCTCTGATTTGTTTTGTGTGTGTTGGTGAACAGGAGCAGGCGTCGTGGGTCTGCCAGTGTGACGAGAGCGTGGTTCAGCGGCTGGAGCAGGACTTCAAGGTGACCCTGCAGCAGCAGAGCTCTCTGGACCAGTGGGCCGCCTGGCTGGACAACGTTGTCAACCAGGTCCTTAAGCCCCACGAGGGCAGCCCCAGCTTCCCCAGGGCCGCACGACAGTTCCTGCTCAAGTGGTCCTTCTATAGGTACGGACCCAATCTATATATGTATACAGTTTATTAGGTACACCACCCCGTTCACGAAAACGGTTCACTCCTACAGACAGTGAGGCACGTGGTCGTGGCTTGCTATATAAAGCAGGCAGACAGGCATCAAGGCATTTACAGTGCCTTCGGAAAGTATTCAGACCCCTTGACTTTTTCCACATTTTGTTACTTTACAGCATTATTCTAAAATAAATACAAAAAATTCAACAGCAATCTACACACAATACCCCATAATGGCAAAGAGAAAACAGGTTTTTAGACATTTTTGAAAATGTATTTTAAAAAACAGAAATACCTTATTTACATAAGTATTCAGACCCTTTGCTATGAGACTCGAAATTGAGCTCAGGTGCATCCTGTTTCCATTTGTTCATCCATGAGATGTTTCTACAACTTGATTGGAGTCCACATGTGGTAAATTCAATTGATTGGACATGATTTGGAAAGGCACACACCTGTCTACAGTGAGGGAAAAACGTATTTGATCCCCTGCTGATTTTGTACGTTTGCCCACTGACAAAGACATGATCAGTCTATAATTTTAATGGTAGGTTTATTTGAACAGTGAGAGACAGAATAACAACAAAAAAAAAGATTTGCATTTTAATGATGGAAATAAGTATTTGACCCCTCTGCAAAACATGACTTAGTACTTGGTGGCAAAACCCTTGTTGGCAATCACAGATGTCAGACGTTTCTTGTAGTTGCCCACCAGGTTTGCACACATCTCAGGAGGGATTTTGTTCCACTCCTCTTTGCAGATCTTCTCCAAGTCATTAAGGTTTCGAGGCTGACGTTTGGCAACTCGAACCTTCAGCTCCCTCCACAGATTTTCTATGGGATTAAGGTCTGGAGACTGGCTGAGCCACTCCTTTGTTGCCTTGGCCGTGTGTTTTGGGTCATTGTCATGCTGGAATACCCATCCACGACCCATTTTCAATGCCCTGGCTGAGGGAAGGAGGTTCTCACCCAAGATTTGACGGTACATGGCCCCGTCCATCGTCCCTTTGATGCGGTGAAGTTGTCCTGTCCGCTTAGCAGAAAAACACCCCCAAAGCATAATGTTTCCACCTCCATGTTTGACGGTGGGGATGGTATTCTTGGGGTCATAGGCAGCATTCCTCCTCCTCCAAACACGGCGAGTTGAGTTGATGCCAAAGAGCTCCATTTTGGTCTCATCTGACCACAACACTTTCACCCAGTTCTCCTCTGAATCATTCAGATGTTCATTAGCAAACTTCAGACTGCCCTGTATATGTGCTTTCTTGAGCAGGGGGACCTTTTGGGCGCTGCATGATTTCAGTCCTTCACGGCGTAGTGTGTTACCAATTGTTTTCTTGGTGACTATGGTCCCAGCTGCCTTGAGATCATTGACAAGATCCTCCCGTGTAGTTCTGGGCTGATTCCTCACCGTTCTCATGATCATTGCAACTCCACGAGGTGAGATCTTGCATGGAGCCCCAGGCCGAGGGAGATTGACAGTTATTTTGTGTTTCTTCCATTTGCGAATAATCGCACCAACTGTTGTCACCTCCTCACCAAGCTGCTTGGCGATGGTCTTGTAGCCCATTCCAGCCTTGTATAGGTCTACTGTCTTGTCCCTGACATCCTTGGAGAGCTCTTTGGTCTTGGCCATGGTGGAGAGTTTGGAATCTGATTGATTGATTGCTTCTGTGGACAGGTGTCTTTTATACAGGTAACAAGCTGAGATTAGGAGCACTCCCTTTAAGAGTGTGCTCCTAATCTCAGCTCGTTACCTGTATTAAAGACACCTGGGAGCCAGAAATCTTTCTGATTGAGAGGGGGTCAAATACTAATTTCCCTCATTTAAAATACAAATCAATTTATACAATTTTTGACATGCGTTTTTCTGGATTTTGTTGTTGTTATTCTGTCTCTCAATGTTCAAATAAACCTACCATTAAAATTATAGACTGATCATTTCTTTGTCAGTGGGCAAACGTACAAAATCAGCAGGGGATCAAATACTTTTTTCCCTCACTGTATATAAGGTCCCACAGTTGACAGTGCATATCAGAGCAAAAACCAAGCCTTGAGGTTGAAGGAAACTCTGCCTAGAAGGTCAGCATCCCGGAGTCGCCTCTTCACTGTTGACATTGAGACTGGTGTTTTGCGGGTACTATTTAATGAAGCTGCCAGTTGAGGACCTGTGAGGCGTCTGTTTCTCAAACTAGACCCTCTAATGTATTTGTCCTCTTGCTCAGTTGTGCACCGGGGCCTCCCACTCCTCTTTCTATTCTGGTTAGAGCCAGTTTGTGCTGTTCTGTGAAGGGAGTAGTACACAGCGTTGTACGAGATCTTCAGTTTCTTGGCAATTTCTTGCATGGAATAGCCTTAATTTCTCAGAACAAGAATAGACTGACGAGTTTCAGAAGAAAGTTATTTGTTTCTAGCTATTTTGAGCCTGTAATCGAACCCACAATTGCTGATGCTCCAGATACTCAACTAGTCTCAAGAAGGCCAGTTTTATTGCTTCTTTAATCAGCACAACAGTTTTCAGCTGTGCTAACATAATTGCAAAAGGGTTTTCTAATGATCAATCAGCCTTTTAAAATGATAAACTTGGATTAGCAAACACAACGTGCAATTGGAACACAGGACTGATGGTTACTGATAATGTGCCTCTGTAAGCCTATGTAGATATTCCTTTAAAAATCAGCCGTTTCCAGCTACAATAGCCATTTACAACATTAACAATGTCTACACTGTATTTCTGATCAATTTGATGTAATTTTAATGGACAAAAAATGTGCTTTTCTTTCGAAAACAAGGACATTTGTAAGTGACCCCAAACTTTTGAACGGTAGTATATGTATGTATGTATGTATGTATGTATGTATGTATGTATGTATGTATGTATGTATGTATGTATGTATGTATGTATGTATGTATGTATGTATGTATGTATGTATGTATGTATGTATGTATGTATGTATGTATGTATGTATATGTATGTATGTATGTATGTATGTATGTATGTATGTATGTATGTATGTATATACACACACACACACACGTTTCCCCTATATTAATTTATCGTTGCCACCAAATCATGTCCACTGCAAAAAATTCTAATAAAAACATGTTTAGAATGTAGACGTATGCCCCAGGAAGACCATTTGCGGCCAAATATATTGGCACCCTTGCACTTTTCTTAGATATGTTGGAAATGAAAAATACTTTGTCTCCACATCTTGTTATTGTATTTGACGTTGCAGAACCAATTTTATTTTGTAACCTTATGTCAAATGGCATGGACAAAATGATTGGCACCCCAGAGCTAATAATTTGTTGAAGAGTCTTTGGCCAAGATAACTGAGCTTGCTATACCTTTCTACTGTCCATTTTGACCAATTTTCAGCAGCAAACTGCTCAAATTATTCAATGTTTGAGGTGTACCCTACACCAACTTCTGTTTTCAGCTCTCGCCATAGGTTATGGATGTGATTCAGATCTGTACTCTTTAGCAGTCTTCACATCGGCAGTTAGAAGTGACTTATATTCTATTTCTTTGCATATCCGATTCGAATCTAACTAGTTTAATTGTTTTCAAACAAATTAGTGAATGTGCTGGAAAGCTAAACAGCTACCTAGCTAGCTGGTTGACTGCTCAGGTGAGCCAAAAATGACTTGTTTTGAAAGTTGGATCATCTTATCCTTTTGAGGCTAAGTGTTCTTACCCTATGATTTTGAACATTCAAAGCAACTGGGAAACTTCCATGGCAGGCATTGTTGTCACCTTAGCTTGCTACATAACTTCTGAGTGATAGGAAACACAAGCACCACCACCAGCCTACACCTCTGCACACCTGTCGTTACTATGACAACTAGCGTAGCCTTGTCAGCAAATGACTGCTGTCTGACACACACATCTGATTTGGTCACTTGTAACTTTGCCATTTGGACAGTCAGTAGTCCAAAACGGATTTGAAAAACAAAACTGATTTGAGCATTAAGGCCTGCAGTGTGAACAAGGCTTTAGCTGGCCACTCCAGAACAGTCCAGTCTTCTTGAACCATTCCATGGTGCTTTTGATGTGCGTTTGGGGTTGTTGTCCTGCTGGAAGACCCACAACCTTCAACAGAGCCAGTTTTTGGACACTGGGTTGAACATTGCACTCCAAAACACCTTGATAATCAGCTGATTTCATGATGTCTTGCGTACGTTCAAGGCCCCCAGTACCAGAGGCAGCAAAGCAACCCCACAGCATTATCGAGCCTCCCCCATGTTTGATTGTAGGGAGGGTGTTATTTTCTTTGAATGCTGACATGTGGGCAAAATTGCCATTAGAAAGGAGCAGCAAGCTCAGATGGCTACACGAAGAGTTTGTCTACAGTCATCTTGGCCAAAGACTGTGCACCCAAGTACTAGCTCCGGCGTGCCAATAATCTGCAATGTTGAAAATCCCAATTACAAGGTGTGGGGACAAAGTTTTTTCAATTTGAACTTATTTTAGAAGAAATGGGTAATTATTTAAGAAAAGTGCAAGTGTGCCAATATCTTTGTCCGCAACTAAATATGCAGCATAAATGTAAAATGTAGCTGCTTTTCACTAAGGTGTGGTAGTATTTGCAGGCTGATGAATGTGGTTAGCTTTGTGTGGCAGGGGCACATTAAAGCTCAGTGGGGCTGCGTTAATGTAATCTCTCTCTGATGGCCCTCTCTTTCTCTCTTCCCCACAGCTCCATGGTAATCAGGGACTTGACCCTGCGTAGTGCAGCTAGTTTTGGCTCCTTCCACCTAATCAGGCTGCTCTACGATGAGTACATGTTCTACCTGGTGGAGCACCGCGTCGCCCAGGCAACCGGAGAGACGCCCATCGCTGTCATGGGAGAGGTGAGTGGGAGGGCTTTTATGTACCCGTTTCCTTGAGCGATTCTGTGGAACTCCTGCAAAATTCACTGAAATAATTATGCGTATTTCATGGCACACCAGTTTCCGTGGTCTACGTTTTTGGTAATGAGTAATATAGCCTGTTTGTTGACAGCATATAAATCTGTATTAGTCCATTACTAATCAAATTTCTCCTCTCTTCTGAAACACAGTTCAGTGACCTTAACTCGATGATGCTCATGGACAAAGGTAGGTCTGCTCCCCCTGGCTCCTAGTGTTTGACTTGTTTTCTCTATCAGTCTCAATGTGGTATAGAACTAGACGTTACCTAGCTCGTTAACTGCTGTTTTTCCCATCTCAGACCCGTCCTTCTCCGATGACATGAGTGACATAGGCAGTGACGAGGGCCGAGGGCCCAACGAGCCGGCCGTGAAAAGGGAGAGGATCGAAATCAACCACTCGCTGCAGGAGATCTGAGACCGGATGAGGCAAGGCGAGGGCCATAGCCCAACACCCCAGGAGCCCTGCTGCCGCCCTGGGCCCTTCTGGTCCTGTCAGCACACTGAGAGTGGCTAGGCTAGCCCGCTACACTGCCAGTGTGTTCAGTGTATATAGAGAAGAGTACTAGGCTCAGCCCCTACCCTACCACCCCTCCTAGTTAGTGTAGTTAAAGGGGGGGGGGGGATCTTTATCCCAGGGAAAACAATAAATGCTCACCAAGGGAGGCTGGTTTGACCTTTATAGGGGTATACAGTTCTAATTTCTCTCCGTTCACTTGTTCCCGTTTTGCAACTGTGAATAAGGATGACTTTGTGCAGTACCCATGTTGGATACGTGTAACTTGGTATGAGTGGTGTGTGTTTCTTATCCTTTATTAGCTGTGTAATTTCAGTGCCTTAGATAACTCTTTAACCGCCACTACTACAGATGTCTATCTCCTCCCTCAGCTGTGCCTCTACCGCAGTATGAATGTATTGTTTCAGAACCTCAGACATTCTAAAGCACCTTTAAACCTGTAGGTGTAGGAGTATACTATACATGTTGCCTCTGTTGCTACTGGCAGCTCAACCCACATTGATGCAACCCACTGACCCAAAGGACTTGTCCCTCTCCCACCAGCGCGGCCACTCTTGGCTCTGTCAGTAAGCCCCTCATAATTGATTGGGAGGGAGGGACCTCTATCACCCTGGCCGTATGAGATGATTAGTTACCTCATCCTTTTCTATGTTCCGTTCTTATGAGGCAACTAAAAGAGAGAAGCCACTGTTACTGTTAATTCTACCAACTCCCCCTAACTCAAGTAACCTTCTCCATGTATATATCACTTTTCATCCAAATGATAACGATTCTATGGTGCCATTTGGCAGAAACTCAATTTCAGGATGCACACAAGGCTAGTCTCATTGATCCATGACTGTAGAACTTTGGGGGTGTTTCTACATGTCACATCCCAGAGTCTAGGACAAGCCAGTTGCATCTATGTTGATGAGACATTTAGATATGTTTAAAAGACAAAGGAGAGTGGTTGACTGTGTTCAGGAAACCACCAGATTGTACGTATATATGATGATCTACCTTCTGGGTTAACTGGAGGTGTCTGGCATCCATTTTGTGGAGCTGTATGTCTGGCCCAAACTGGGCCAAATCAAATTTCTTAAGGGATGTAAAATAGTATGTATTTACCAAAACGTGAAAGAGCGTTGGACCTCCGAAGCCAAAACCCTCAAAGGAAACTCTAGATGCATCTGTTCAGTTCAACTGATGCTGTTAGTTCAGATAGGCTTTCCCCCTTACCGTTACTGAAATGGACTCATTCCATATTGATTGGAGGGAAATATTCAGAATCTCCCAATCCATGTTTATTCATTCATATTGCTTGATATATGAAAATGCAAACTGCTTTTGAGTCGGTTACTCTTAAGATTTTATGATATAGCCGTACAATTGTACTGTAGGAGGCCTGATTGTGCAAAACCAACAAACTGTTAAACTTTCAAATATAAATATTTCTTAATAAGATGTAAAAAATGTGTGTTCATCAATGGCCTTTGGTATCGCTTGGTCTTTCCCCAATCATTTATCTCTCCCCACACTGTATGGTTTGTGTTTTTAAAGGGGATGTCCTCCTTGCTTTGATTATTTAGTGGCTGGGACTGATGTGTACGACGCAGACGTTTGTCTTGTTTTGATAATTTTCTGTGTCATCTGGTCAACACATCAATATTTAACTAACAACGTTGATATTTGGGGTATAAGTGCCCAATTAAGCTATGAAACGGCATTCGCGGAGACTGCATTCACAGTAAACTGTGCATATGTCTGCTCAACCGGAAATTACAACTGACATGGAGCTTTTATTTCTAAACACTTTTGTTTGAGTTTCCCCTGTTCCCCCTGATTTTGTAGTAGCTATGAGACTTCTGAGCTTGAGTTATTGAAGGCTCTTTGTAACTCGTGCCTGTCACAGTACTTTGCCTTTAAGTGCGTTGGAAAGTAATTTCTGTGTGTACTTTAATGTTTCTTGTAAATCTGTTTTGACTTGGCTGAGGATAATTTTTTTATAGAACTAGATCTGGTTCTTCTGTATTTTGAACCCTTATTTTTAAACCTGTTCTTGACTACACTTTACCTAGCCTGAGGGCAGACAAGTCTGTAACAAACTGCATAGTTCAACTGTATTTTGTACTGGTCAATGTGTAATAAATTGGTATTAAACCATCTGTTTGGCCAAGTTTGTATTTATTTCTTAAATATCAATGTCGAATGAAACATTTTGGAAAAACAGCAGCTTTACTAGCATTTGTGTCCTGGCAAAATAAACGTTATTACTGGAACCGCTCACAATGATTAAGTGCTCTTTTAAATTCGTATCGCGGAAGTTCAGCGTTGGTGTGATTGCCTTTAAATTGTAGTGTTCCGCGTGACCTTTACATTTCTATCGTGCAATCTGTAACCCTTTAGCGATAGATTGAATAGAGAATAAATATTCCTTATTTACATTTAAAATTCACGTTTCCATGGCAATTCTGTTCGACAAGTATGTTTATTTATTCATACACAATTGATCTCTTCAATAAAACCAACTTCATACATCCAGTTTTCAAACTCCTGATATAAAGGCACACGAACACAATGCAAACAGAACAAGATTCTGTACAAAGAGAAAAGGGTACACTCCCCTGGAAAATGGCGAGGATTGTGTGTACAACGCAGAGCTGAACGGCAAAAAAAATAAAGGCTAGGTCCCAAAATGAGTTTGGTCCATAGCGGCCAGGACACCATACACGTCAAGTGCAGGAGAATGAGTCTGAGCACGGTGCGTGGTCCCAACGTCAAAACCATCCCAGTCTGTCTGTCCTCTCCCTCCTGGAGGAATAGGTCGATATGGCCCAGAGGGCTAAAAGTGCAATGTGTAATCCAGTAACTCCCAACGGTGACCTGGGCACTCCTACTCCTCCTCACAAGGTGCAGCCTGCCATGTACTTCCCTGCCAAGGAGACAAACATATGAACATTTCATGGATTTCACACGTCATACTACCTTGTGAAACTCCAGGGCCCACATACTGTATCTTATTGGCCAGGCCTAGTAACAGATGGTGTTCCTCTACCTGTGGCAAATCTCTTCTTTACCAGGGACATACGGTAGTGGTTGCCCACCAGTTCCACGTCCATGCCTGAAAGAGAGGCCCCGGATCCAACAAACTGGACTGCCAGGCTGGGGGGAGGGCCGCGAGGAACCTCTAGGCACTGCCAGCTGGCACACAGAGTGCCAGAGCCTGGAACAACCAACAAGTGACACATTCTTCAGTTCCCCTCCACTAACAGGAGCAAGTTAATCACACTGACTTGTGGTATTGTCTATGTGGCAATCGGACAGTACAATCTGTTATCACCAGGTAGATTGGTGGCCAGACTGGCCACTGAAATGATTGCAATGAGTGCCTTCAGAAAGTATTCATACCCATTGACTTATTCCACATTTTGTTGTGTTATAGCTTGAATTGAAAATGGATAAAATATTTTTCACACAATACCCCATAATGACAGTGAAAACATGTTTTTAGAAATGTTAGCAAATTTATTGAAAATGCAATACAGAAATATCTAATTTACATAAGTATTCACACCCCTTTGCTATGACACTCCACATTGAGCTCAGGTGCATCCAATTTCCTTTGATCATCCTTGAGATGTCACTACAACTTGATTGGAGTCCACCTGTGGCCAATTCAATTGTTTGGACATAATTTAGAAAGAAACACACCTGTCTATATGACAGTGCACGTCAGAGCAGAAACTATACCATGAAGTCCAAGGAACTGTCCGTAGATCGCCAATATAGAATTTTCACAGGCCTATATCTGGGGAAGGGTATAAAACAATTTATATAGTGTTGAAAGTTTCCAAGACCACTCATCATTGGGAAATGAAAAATATGAAACTACCCAGACTCTGCCTTGGGCTGCTGTCTGACCAAACTGAGCAACCGGGCAAGAAGGACCTTGTTCAGGGAGGTGACCAAGAACCCAATGACCACTCTGACAGAACTACAGAGTTCCTTGGCTGAGATGGGAGAACCTGCTAGAAGGACAACAGCCTCTACAGCGCTTCACCAATCTGGGCTTTATGGGAGAGTGGCCAGAAGGAAGTCACTCCTGAGAAAAAGGCTCGACCGCACGCCTGGAGTTTGCAAAAAGGCACGTGAAAGAGAAAAAAATGGAACTCTGAATGCAAAGCACTATGTCTGAAGAAAACCAGACACAGCTCATCACCTGTCTAACACCATCCCTACTGTGAAAAACGGTGGTGGCAGAATGGGGATGCTTTTCAGCAGTAGGGACTGGAAAACTGGTAAGGAAAGAGGGAGCCAAATACAGGCAAATCCTTGATGAGAACTTGCTTCAGAGTGCAAACGACCTTAGACTGGGTGCGAAGATTTACATTCCAACAGGACAATGACCGCAAGCATACAACCAAAACGACGCTGAAATGGCTTCAGAACAAGAATGTGAACGTCCTTGAGTATACAAAAGTATTGACTCGGGTGTGAATACTTATGTTGTGTTTAGATGGTACGAGGTAGACAGCAAACCGGATGTCATTGTTTTCAATGAGAGCATGACAGTAAATGCCGTTGAGGCTGGCGGTGAATGCTGTCTGCCGCCACGGTTAAAATATTTCAACTTTTGCAGTCTGCTGTTGCGATGTTTTCTACCGGATGTAGATTTGCACTGTTTATTTGCACCGGATGTTTGTTTACTGCAATCACCATAGCACGCATACCGTTGTGCTGGCTTGCTTTTGCCGTCAGTCTTTCTTGCCCCGCTATGCCGACTGGTATGATATTTGTTGCGTCCTTCGTCTAAATGCAGCATTATGTAAATGAGATATTTTTGTATATAATTTAAAGAAATTTGCTAAAATGTATAAAAACATGTTTTCACTGTCATTATGGGGTACTGTGTGTAGATGTGTGAGGATTTAAAAAAAATTGAATCCATTTTGAATTCAGGCTGTAACACAACAAAGTGGAATAAGTCAAGGGGTATGAATACTTTCTGAAGGCACTGTACCAAGGAGAAAAAGGTATTTGTATAGGGCGAACAGTAAAGGAGTTATTGTAACCTTTCCGAGATTCTGATCACTGCCTATAAATGATGATGTTCAGGCTTTAATATTCCCCAAACTTCCCTCTATTCATAAGGCATATAAATAGCCGTGTTACCCATCTCTCACTCACGGGCTCAGCTTTCATATGCTAATCTTGATATTTAGGACTATGACACCTTCATAGAGGCTGCATATTAAAATAGAGAAAAGGGTGGCACTCAATGCAATTATGTTGTCAAAGACTTGTAAGAATGTACATTATACTGCATTTATATGTCCTTATCTATAATTTCTATGGCTAGAATATGACCGATATGTGGCCATTAAGTGAGATGGGTGTACTGTTGACAGGTCAGTAACCTTTGCTTTGGTTGGTGGGGGAGAGGTTGGGTAGTTTCCACAGTAGCCGTCGTTCCTCAGTATTCCTGTGAAGGTAGACAACAAAAGGTCAGTGAGGCCCACCCAGTCTAAAGTATCCACACCCTTTCCCTTGACCTTCTACCATCCGCCCATTCTCCTGTTCTCCCCATTCATCCACCCTTCATCTCTCTGCCTCCCTTCCTTCCCTTTCCATATCTCCTCCCACTCCCCACCCATTCATCCTTTCTCCTTCCCTCTATCCTTTCATCCCTCCTTCCATTCCCACCTCCCACTGCTCACCAGGATGCGGGGGGCTGGCACTGCAGGTCTGTGGCGGTGTGGTCGAGGGGTAGCAGCACCTGCACAGCAGTGAGCTGGGTGGAGGGGGCGGTGGCCGGGCAGCAGTGGTAGTCCAGGGACACACGGGTCACTGTGCCACTCCGCTGGCACTCTGCTGACAACAGGAGGGGAGCGCGACCAGGGTCCTGGGACGACACCTGAGAAGGGAGGGAGGGAGGGAGGGAGAGAGAGAAAGGAGAGAAGGAAGGAAGGAATGAGAAAAAAACAACAGAGTTGGGAGAGGTTGTTGATGTTAGGACAATGCTGTCATTTGGAAGATAAGGGAAAATGTGTTTCTTGAGGAATACTTGAAACTTCAGATGACAGAGGGTAAGAGAGTTCCACTGTACTTCACTCACTCACCTGGTACTTGAGTAGGGCCACGTTATAGTAGGACGCCTGGGGGTTGAGCTCCGCCTCTCTCTGCAGGTAAAGGTTCAGTGCCTGCATGTTGAACCAGAAGTCCCTGGTGTCTGGGTCACTCTGAGAGGGGTCACTGTGGAGAATAACACACTCAGGAGAATGAGATATATCCTACCATTTCAGCAATCTGTCTATATATCATAACACCACAACCAATCCCATAGCCCATATTAATCTACCTGTAGAGCAGCTTCTGATTGGGCAGAAAGTGGTCAACCCGGGAGATGTTGACCAATCGAAAGCTGAGGACCGGGGTGTTGGGGTTAGCAGTGAAGATACGAGTGATTCCAGCAGGAAAAGACATGGTGAGATCGCCTGTGATCTTCACCAGACACCTGGAGAAGAGAGAAGAGAAACACGCTTCGCCTTCAGCAGGCCCGTGTATAAAAGGTAATAACATTGGATCTGGTGTAGAGAGAGCTTATGTATACTGACCGGTTATGCTGTCCACCTTTGAAGTAAGCGTTGATGTATTCTGTGATGGCTGCAGCCACAGGCCAGGACTCTTGGGTGCTCAGGGAGATCGGGCTCGGCCCGCGAGACAGATGCACTGTGGGAAAAATAGCCATGTCTAAGACACAAGTTCAAAGCACAATGTCCTTATTCATAAGTGCTTTATGCTATTGAGCATCTTTAAAATATTGGTATGAAAATGGTTGTGTTCAGACTAACTGTGTAGGCGTGTGTGGTCTTGGTGCAGGTGTGAGAGGGGGGAGGGCAGCCCACCTCTGGCAGGGCTGGTGGTGCGGGTCTGGGCCCCCCACTCACTGGGGCTGGAGGAAGAGGATGAGGTGAAGTCTGGGCTGGGGTCCGGCAGAGGAGATGAGCACACTGACCTGGACTGAAACACAACAGGGATAAATAAGGGTTACAGTGTGGAGGAACCAGAGAGGATGTGTGGAGAATGTCATCGTTCAGAACATACCCCCTTCACTGAACATTTTCTCTGCTCAGCTCAATCAGAAACATATTTTAGTTGTAACTTTTTTTTTCTACAGTCATCAATCATGTTTGGAAGAATGAACAGGACTACTGTTCTAGCCTTGCTTGTCAGACTTATAGCTGTAAAAGCCACAGGTCTGTGAGTGAGACCAGACCGGAGCTGCTGTAGTCAGGTTGATTTCCCTGAGGACACTCACTCTCTCACAGCCACTCAGTCTGCCTGAGGACCTCTTGGCTCTGGCTGGTCTGGGAGGAGCTGCCACCAGCAGCTCTGCACTGTGCTGCCTGAAGCTATGCTTCAAACCTGGAGAGGAAGGAGAGAGGAAAGACCAATATTACAACCTGTAAGACAAGAGGAAGTAGTCTAAAAGACTGTGTGGCGTTTTGAATAGTGTGAAATATATTTGGGGAAATATATATTTTTTTAAAGATACAATCTCAAAATATAGCTAGTGCATAGACATTTGAGCCCAGTAGTGCAGTGTGTAACATTTGTACCTTTGTGTGAGCCCATGTTGCAGGATTGCTGTGGTGCGTTCAGGTCCAGACAGTTTTGGTCTTTGTCAGAAGAGAAGCACAGGTCCTCCTGTGGCCCAGAATGCAGTGTGAGAGGCAGGCCACTCCTGCGTGGCTCGCTTTCACTGCGTGACTCGCGCTGCTTCCTCCCTCCCTCATTCACCACTCCACCCAGGGCCAGAGACGCAGCAGAGGTCCCCTCACTGAAGGGGTTGTGGACAGAGTTCCAGTGGACCAGCTCCTTCTTCGGCTGGGATAAGGGGAGGGAGTTGGAGGTCAGCCAACTACTGCTGACACTGTGGGTCAGGACCCCTGTCGCAGCAGCCAGGGCTGACTGGTGGGTGGGGCTGCCAATCATAGTGATGGCGAATGGGTCGTCAGGTGATTCTGGGGGCGGGACGCTACGGTCTCGTTTCCTGTCCATGTCCTTGCAAAAGGAGGAGGAGGGGGTGGGGAGGGTTTTACTGTCACTTAGGGAGATGGCAAAGGGATCGCTCCGTACCTCTATCCCCCTCCCGTCTCTGGAGGGGCGCGGGGGTGGGGGGGCCCAGGCGTCAGGGGGGGGCAGGGTCTCTTGGGTGATGGTCCTCTCAAAGGCGGCCAGAAAGGGGTCCTCAGGAGGGATGTGTTTACAGCTCCACAGGGCCGGGTCCGGCTCTGGAGGGGCCAGGGACTGGGAGAAGACCGGGAAGCGGAGGGCCGAGAGGTCCATGTCAGGAGGGGGGCGGGGGGACCGAGGAGCAGCTGCCCAGATACTGGCAGGGTCGTCCTGGGGGTGGGTGCTGCGTCCTGGGGAGGGGTCTCTAAAGGCAGTAAGGAAGGGGTCTGCTGGCCTGCCCAGTCCTGCTGGTTCTTTACTCTGACCTGCTGATGGCCACGCTGCCCAACCAGCCGTCTCAGGGGAGGGGCCCAGGGTCTGATGGGAAGGTGAATCCAGCCCAGAGTCCTCTACGTTTTCAGGAGAGGAGGAGTCAGTGGAGAAGGCAGCATCTGGAGAGAACAAGGGCAGACGATCATTCTACTATCTGAAACAGTATGTATCATACATGCATACATAGGACCAGGAGTTTTTACTGACTATGTGATGGGGAAAAACTTCTGTCCCTAATTTTCATCAATAATATATAATATTATTAGTATTATTATATTATCATTCAATTATTATTAATATTATCATATTAACATGAACTATATTTACATTCAGATGCACCAAAGACACTCTCTGCTCTCGGTAGCTGCTCTCTACTAGCAAAGCTTTTAGACTTAAAGGCCGACTCCAGAGGAGGTCCAAAGAGACTGTCTGAGCGTGATGCAGTAGTACTCAACCTAGAGGGTGGGATGGAATGAGAGAGGGGAAGAGAGCGGGAGATTATGCATTACCAGGAGCCAATAAAAAGCATAGCCAGAGATAATGTCAGGATTTGACAGAGTGATGCAGCACAATCATCAGATCTCGGGCTGGCTTCCTCTCCCACAGCATCTCTCTACCTCTCTATCTCCCTGCAGCTCACAGCTACAGCTATGAACGTCAGAGAGAGGAGAGAAGAGACGAGACTGACTGACATTCACTCACCTGCTGTGATCCGGACTTGAGGTGGATCTGCGTAGGCCGTCCTGCTCTCCCTCTGCAAAGTGTACGCACACACAGTTAGTGAAGTTTAATTCGTGACTGCTCCCCAATCAGTCCCAATCAGGAGGAGATGTGATTAACTAGCGTGCTTATGGAGGGCAGTGCCGTAAGGGAATGCCCATTATCTTCTATAATGATAAATAGCAGCCATTAGCCTGGATCTCTAAGCAGCATCAGCCCAGCGCTTTATGCTACTGTTTTAATCAAGGCACTCATCGTTAATCATGCCTGCTCATTTCCCCTGCTTTATCCCATCTCCTCCGCAAATAGCCTCCTACTGTAGCATCACAGGCTGCTATTCCCCTCCTAATAAACCATGTTCCAGGCAGACCGAGGTGTGACAAATAGACAGTGTCATTCAGCCAAGGTCAGCCACCTCTAGGATGTATTACTGGACGGATACGCACTGCTAAGACTAGCCAGAAGCAATACAGTAAATCACATTCACAACATCACTTCAGACTGGTAGTAACATTAAAGATTGGGTAATAGTATCCTTGTGCATGAATACCATATGAAATGGACGTTTATGACCTTTCAACGCTGATAGAATACATTGTGGTGAAATGATAAAGTAAGTAAGAGGCAGGGCAGTGGAGAGTGGACTGCTGATGCTGCAGAAACAGTCGTGTGGAGAGAGTGCTAACTCCACTTACCCCTGTGGGGGGCGCCCTCTCCCTCCCCCTCTGAACAGCCTGTAGTACTGCCGTTTCCTGTGGAGGAGACAAGGATTCAGAGAACGTGCGCGCGCCCACATCCACATATAAATGTACACGTACAACACAGACAGAGACAGACAGAAACCCAACTATTTTTCAACAAGAGTTTAATGGAACTTACTGGAGAGATGACGTTTCACTGACACCTGGAACAGAGGGAGAGCAGATGTGTTAATTACACTTTCTGGAAGCATCTAAATAATGAAGAATGTTTATATGTTACAACAACATGATGACATAATACCAGGAGAAACAAACATGGCACAATAAACAGATAAGCATTTCTGAGCTCCTCTTTTTCATCAATCAATCAATTGGTCCTCTGTAGCTCAATTGGTAGAGCATGGCGCTTGTAACGCCAGGGTAGTGGGTTCGATCCCCGGGACCACCCATACGTAAAAAATTTATGCACACATGACTGTAATTCGCTTTGGATAAAAGCGTCTGCTGAATGGCATATTATATTATTATATTCTGATACCACCATGTGAAAATTAGCGACACATTTCACCTCATCCATGCTTCCCCTCTGGTCCTGTATCCCCTCCTTCCCCCTTTTCTTTTCCCATCGTACCCCTCTGTTGGGGGGCAGTGTGAGTGCTCCCACAGTGGCCTTCAGCTCCATCTCTGTAGCAGCAGAGTTGCTGCTGCCCACCGGACGGATCTGGATGTGGAACTTCTTGGGCTCTTCGTCGTCAAAGTCAGAGTCGCTGGAGTAGAAGTCGTTCTCCTTGTCCTCCGTCGAGCAGCGTAAGGACAGAGAGCTGGGTTAAGGAGCAGTGACCTGAGATAGAGGCTTGAATGGAGGGAAGAAGGCCTAATGCAGCTTGCCAAGGACAACTTTGGGAGTGTCAGGGTTTCCATTGTCCTATTTATACAGACACAGTGACAACCATCTATGAGTTTAGAAAGCAGTGGAAAATGTTCCTGTAGGCTTGCTTGAGCTTTATTGCAAAAATGTTTTCACTCAGGCTGCAGGCATTTTATTGAGGATAATCCTATATGGCTTTATTAATCCCCTCTGGGGCCAGAAAATCAATGCATGTAGACTAGAGAGTACAGGACTGCTGTGACAAACACAGAGCTGGAGTGCACCAGAGGTAACAGCGTATAAAACAGACAACCACAACATCCTGCACCTCCAGCCAACCTTATCTCCATCCTGTTCTTACACGTTCATCTGCATGCATGTGTGTTTGTGTCGGTTTGTTCACAGGTGTGTTGTGCCCGAGAGAGAAACAGATCTAGTGTCAGTATATTTGGCCGTTACATAAAAGGCCTGATGGGTCTAACAACTGTGCTCTGCTGAGGAGACAGTGACAGAATGACAAGGTAGCCTGCTATCATGGCCCCCATCGCCCCAGCCTCATAATGGACTGGAGTTGGACTAAGGACAGAGAGAGCATTTCAGTCCATTTAAATGTCCCTTAGGGAAAGGGACAAGGGAAAAGGGGATACCTAGTCAGTTGTACAACAATGCAACTAAAATGTGTCTTTCGCATTTAACCCAACCCCTCTGAATCAGAAAGGTGCGGGGGGCTGCCTTAATCGATATCCACGTCATCGGCGCCCGGGGAACAGTGGGTTAACTGCCTTGCTCAGGGGCAGAACGACCAATATTTACCTTGTCAGCTCGGGGATTTGATCCAGCAACCTTTCAGTTACTGGCCCAACGCTCCTACCAGCCAGGCGCCAGGGAGACCTAGCTAATGTTCTATTAATCTAATAGGAGACGGTCTAGAGCAGGGTTCCCCAACTGGACATAAAAAACTGTAAAAACACCAGGAAATCAGCTCCAGGTTATTTTAATTTGGGAAATCTGTTCCCAAGTATTTCCACGCATAATAGAGAGACACGGGATCATATACAAATGTAAGGAAGGTTTGAAATTATTACGTTTTAGTCAAATATTATATCTGTTTGGGCTTCTTGCGGTCAATTTGCAGTCTACAAATTATTTGTTATTATGTTCCGGCCCCCCGACCATCCGCTCAAGCAAATAATCATCCCACGGCTGAATCTAGTTGATGATCCCAGGTCTAGAGTGCTTTATAAAGACAGAATACTCTCTTACACAGTGGCAGGAAGCCTTGTTTTCATTATGACGATAAAGAGGTCTGTCAAAGGCAAATATTACTACAATATAGTAGAGAGATAGCCTCTCATCTGATAGTCAGTGTCACTGCCTGGAAAGGATATCATTCTGATTGACGTCGCCTCGAATGACAAACCCCTCCTCATCCACCTCCAGGGGAGAGTTCTGTATGCAGAATAGAGAATACCCAGCAATGTCAGACACTAACATAAATACTTGATCCTAGTGTTTGATATGCTTAATAACAACCCCCCCCCCCATGTGACACTTGTCTGTTAAAACAGTCCTGGCAGCCCACTGATCTCCACCCAACCTCAAAAGCCCCTTCTCAGAAGGATAAAAATAGGCAAGGTAACCCAACACTGCCAGACACGTCATTGTCACACATATGACTACTCTCCCTTGCTCATACACACGCACAAATGCACACCGTGACACACACACGTCGATGTGTCTGTCAGTAAGTTGGCAGGGGGAGCAAAGTGATGTGCTGTTTAAACCACCACCACCACGTATGTAGAACTGATCATGGATAAACTGCCATTGACTTGATGGTTTTCGTGCCACTGTGTACAAGTGTAAATTAGCATATACTCACTGGTGTCTCCGTCACAGCCGAATCCCTGCAAAAAGCAACACATAGGTGAATGTAAGTGACAAGATAATATCACAGATGAAGCTGACAAAAGAGAGTGCGGGTAATTGGGATTTATCGTCCGTTTGTGTGTGTGTCTGGGCTCACGTTGAGTCTGGCTCTTTGTCCCTCTTGCCCAGTCCAGGAATCCTGAAGGCTTTTCCTCGACTCTTCTTACTCCCCTCCGGTACTAAAGCTGTCATGTACTCCTCAAACCCCACCAGGGCTGCCACACATAGGGACACACCACAGTGAGGACAAATGGGACACATGCTGGGATCAAACCATCTGTTTTTGGTGTCTGTGTGATATACCTGGTCTGTCCTTCCCTGTGCTCTTCTGCTCTGTAAACTTCTGGATGAGGTTATCTATGCCGATGTTCTCCACGTTCTGTTTGAACTCCTCATGGACCTGAACAGAGGACAGAGGGGCTCGTTACAGTCTGAAGAGAGAATAAGCATGCCTGAGAGAGAGGGGTTTGGAGTGTGTGTGTTGTGGATGTGAAGTTTGACTATAGCAGGAGATAACCCCTCAGAGAGGGCAGTTAAATCCCTCCAACCAGACTCATCCTGTGGCCTCCTGGGTCAGTGCCTGGGTGACCTACCTGTCCCACCTGGACGTGGGTGTCCTCTATGGAGTGGGAGTATCCCTTGACCAGCTGTTTCATCTGCCTCAGGTGGGCCTCCTCAATGTCCTGGAACTTCTGTACCCAAGAAGGGAATACAACAGTGTTCAAACACCAAGATCGGTCCTAATTACAGCAAACTACCCCAAAGCACACCAAAACGCTACTCAAAATACCCACAAAACATCACAAAATGCTAGCACAAACTACCTCAATGTGCAGTTAAGTAGTAAGAACTGAAACCCAAAGAACCCCAAGACACAAAAACAAAAGGCACTTATCAGCCATGGCAACTGTAAAGGAATAGAACCAGGCACAGACCAAAGCAGGGGAGCAGGGAGCATAATCGTTTCCATCCCAGGTAATAACCTGGTACTAATCACAACACTGCATGTGGGCTAGAGTAATGGCTTGAAAGAACAGGTCATTTCCCCCTGTCATGTTCTGGGCTGTAGTCTTCATAAAGCCACACTGAGCTCTCTCTACCCCACTCATAATTAGGGACATATCTCCCATTGTAGCTATTAAACAGGTAATTGGTCACCAGGATTCCAATCATCATTTCATACCCAAATATAGCAACGTTCATCGGGTTTGTTAAGGGTTTCCTTGGAAACTGCAGGTAGCCATGGAGATGTGTTCATTGTGAATAAAAGGGGTTTATGTTAATTTAAGGGAACTGCAGGATTGGGACAAAGTGTTATAACATGTCTGGTTCCTCCAGGGCGTCTGTCTAACCCGCCCCAGGACCAGTGGACTGACTGACCTGAGCTGATTCGCTCATCTTCTGCTCAAAGTCTCCCCCCACGCGGTTATACTTCTCTATACACACAGCAAACAACTCGGCAGCTTTCTTAGACTTCAGCTCCGCCTAGTGAGAGGAGAGAGAGGATGATTATAGCCTTTATCCAGTCATTAGTTAAACCTTTATTTATCCTGGTGAGAACAAATGATCTGTTATAATAATAACCTTGTTTGACTATCTATCTTAGCCTACCATTAGTAGTCAGTAAACTTCCAGCAACCATTCATTTATAAACAGTAGGCACCCTGTGGTTATATAACAGTTAAGACAGCTCTACTGTAGTTATACAGAATGACGCCTAGTGGACAGACCTTCTCCAGTTCTTTCTGGGGGGCTCCCTCTTTCCTCAGTCTGTCTAGCTCAATACACTTGGCGTGGTAGCCCTCCCTGGACTTCTGGAGATATCCATTTTGGACCTGAACCGCCTGAACCGCCTCCAGGGTCCCTACCTGCTCCTCCTTGGTCTGTGAGAAACAAACCACGCACATATTATTAAATGATTGTAGATTGGCCGTTATAGATGAGAATATAGTGAGTGATTCATGGGGGGGATAGTTTGGGCATGATCATGGAAATATATGGTGAGAAGAGGGGCTTCATCATGTTACCTTGCGGTGAACTTTGACCTGCTCGTCACCATACTTGTTGATGTCCCGGATGAGGTCATTCATCTTGCGCATCAGCTCTAGGTGGCAGAGAGACAGCTTGTCTGATGACACCCGGAACACGTCCCACATAGGAGCAAACGTCCTGAGGGCCACACAGCAATATGTCACCTACATTATATAAAGTCCTAAGGCCAACTTTTTTAAATCTAATAATGACATATACTGAGTGTACAAACATTAGGAACACCTTCCTAATATTGAGTTCCACCCCCTTTTGCCCTTAGAACAGCATCAATTAGTCGGGGCATGGACTCTACAAAGTGTCGAAAGCATTCCACAGAGATGCTGGCCCATGTTGCTTCCAATGCTTCCCACAATTGTGTCAAGTTGGCTGGATGTCCTTTGAGTGGTGGACCATTCTTGATGCACACGGGAAACTGTTGAGCGTGAAAAACCCAGCAGCTTTGCAGTTCTTAACACACTCAAACCGGTGCGCCTGGCACCTACTACCATACCCCGTTCAAAGGCACTTCAATCTTCTGTCTTGCCCATTCACCCTCTGAATGGCACACATACACAATCCATGTCTCAATTGTCTCAAGGCTTAAAATTCCTTATTTAACCTGTCTCCTCCCCTTCATCTACACTGATTGAAGTGGACAAGGGATCATAGCTTTCATCTGGATTCACCTGGTCAGTTTGTCATGAAAAGAGCATGTTGTATACTGTGTACATTTTCAGAGGTGACTTTTGTTTGAATGGTAATATGACATTAAAGTCCATCTTTATGGTGCATTTCTAGAGTTAAACAAACCAAAGCAACCCAAAACAACACACACAGGAAGTGAAGAAGACAGAGAGTTCTGGGATGATGGAGTAGATCACATCCCTGACCTATGACCCAGTAATCATAGACCCTAGAGAATCATAGACCCTAATCATACAGACAAACTACTGTACATCCTGTAGGCAGCCTGCCAACATATGGAACAGTTGATTTCATTATGATAAGAATACTGCTCTCTAAACTGAGATGTTGATGACAACAGTTGTCTAATATACTCACCCTAGTGGGCTTCCATTGCTTGCCATCTTGGCCAGTTTGCTCATGGACTTGGAGTAGGTTTCCTCGATGGCAGCCCTGAGAACCCACAGATAGATAAGAGTCATTCCCTATGAGCCCCTGGCTGGCCAGTAACAAACCAGGCAGAGTGATATTCTACACAGTCTCAGCATTGGAAATCCTGCATCCATGGCTAAGGCACTGCATCTCAGTGCTTGAGGCGTCACTACAGACCCCCTGGTTCGATTCCAGGCTGTATCACAATCGGCCGTGATTGGGAGTCCCATAGGGCAGCGCACAATTGGCCCAGTGTCGTCCGGGTTTGGCCGGTGTAGGCCGTCATTGTAAATAAGAATTTGTTCTTAACTGACTTGCCTAGTTAAATAAAGGTTAAAAAAAAAAATCAAACTGCAGTTGAGCTACTAAACCTACACTCGTACCCTTCTGGCTCACAGAAAAACTATTGCATATCTTACTAGCATAATACGTCATATTATTATGTACAGAGCATAATAAAGAACAAACATAGTGCTTAAAACAGCCAGGCAAAGGGAAATAAATATTTAGCTTCCGTACTGTGTAAATGTTGCCCAAACCCACATTTGAATAATAAATGGTCTCATTTTGCAGGAGGAACATAGACCTTTAATAACCATCTGTAGTCCCGTGGAGAAAAATTACAAAAGTAGACGAGGAAAGAGCAAAGAAATAAATAAATCGAAAACAAATCGCTGCAGTTTCACAAGCCTCCGGCAACAGAGAAATCCCTTTTTAAATTATATCGAGAAGTAGTACACCCTGGGGTAGCTACGCCTACAGAAAGTTAGAATATCTGACATTTCTAATCAACCACTCCTAGATTGACCTTTTAGATACATCAAACTTCCCCATCCAGATTGAGAGCGAGCTTTAGGCCCATTGAGAAGAGCGTGGGAAATCAATCAGCTCAATGGGTTACTCCGTCTGTCCTGAGGGGAAACACAGCTTCTCTACAATGTCTCATTTCATTTCCTGACTGCCACTTTGTTGTCTCCACGTAGATAACCAAATTTCCTCCCGCCTGTGGGGAATGTGCAGTGGTTCGGATCTTATGAATAAAAGTCAAGATTATGACATTGGTCTGACAGTCCCAGGCTTAAATACTACAATGAGTCTTCTACCTCCAGCTAATTTACTCATTAAGAGATTGAATAAATACAGAGGACTGCAGGGAAAACAACCGAGAAGGAAGATTATTCAGACTGAGCATGTTACCTGAGCTGAGTGCCCAGATAACATGCAAAACACTGCTACTGCAAATGTGTGTGTGTGTGGTAAGACAGGGAGCTCCTTGTCTTGTGGGCTGGGTCTTGTCTTGTGTGAGAGTGTGTGCATCTGTTAGCACTCCTGTGTGCTGGTCTGTCCAAATGCAGCACAGTAGTGTGGGTTAGAGGGTAGGGGTGACAGGGGAGAGGAGCGGCTCCATCAAAGACATTACTATGTAAGGAAACGGCAAGGCCCTGTATCCTGTATTGGATAAAATTCTTTATATAATATTTTTATTCACAATGAATGAAAGATAAAATGTAAAGACATTGTACATTCTTCCCCTTTTTGTCCCCCCTCAGAATGCCTCCAAACACAAAGTAATTGAGTTACAGTGGGGGAAAAAAGTATTTAGTCAGCCACCAATTGTGCACCACACAGGGGGACCTAGTGAATGACCTGCAGAGAGCTGGGACCAAAGTAACAAAGCCTACCATCAGTAACACACTACGCCGCCAGGGACTCAAATCCTGCAGTGCCAGACGTGTCCAGGTCCGTCTGAAGTTTGCTAGAGTGCATTTGGATGATCCAGAAGAGGATTGGGAGAATGTCATATGGTCAGATGAAACCAAAATAGAACTTTTTGGTAAAAACTCAACTCGTCGTGTTTGGAGGACAAAGAATGCTGAGTTGCATCCAAAGAACACCATACCTACTGTGAAGCATGGGGGTGGAAACATCATGCTTTGGGGCTGTTTTTCTGCAAAGGGACCAGGACGACTGATCCGTGTAAAGGAAAGAATGAATGGGGCCATGTATCGTGAGATTTTGAGTGAAAACCTCCTTTCATCAGCAAGGGCATTGAAGATGAAACGTGGCTGGGTCTTTCAGCATGACAATGATCCCAAACACACCGCCCGGGCAACGAAGGAGTGGCTTCGTAAGAAGCATTTCAAGGTCCTGGAGTGGCCTAGCCTGTCTCCAGATCTCAACCCCATAGAAAATCTTTGGAGAGAGTTGAAAGTCCGTGTTGCCCAGCGACAGCCCTAAAACATCACTGCTCTAGAGGAGATCTGCATGGAGGAATGGGCCAAAACACCAGCAACAATGTGTGAAAACCTTGTGAAGACTTACAGAAAACGTTTGACCTGTGTCATTGCCAACAAAGGGTATATAACAAAGTATTGAGAAACTTTTGTTATTGACCAAATACTTATTTTCCACCATAATTTGCAAATAAATTCATAAAAAATCCTACAATGTGATTTTCTGGAGAAAAAAAATCTCATTTTGTCTGTCATAGTTGACGTGTACCTATGATGAAAATTACAGGCCTCTCTCATCTTTTTAAGTGGGAGAACATGCACAATTGGTGGCTGACTAAATACTTTTTTCCCCCACTGTACATGTTAGAAAACAAAACAAAAGTGTACAACAATGTTACTTCAATACAAGCAAAAATGTAATAGCCTAACAATTTCAGGTGATTAAGTGATCTTATAGGCCTATAGCAGTAATCTCAAAGGGTGGGGGTGGGGCCAAGAGTACTAATCTGGAGGAAGTGTTTTGCAGCTGGTCAAAATAGGATATCATTGGGTACCAGGTGGAATAATATGAGTTGGTTGACCCTCGAATGGTATACTTAATTTTTTCTAATTTTAGGAACAGCATCAGATCTTTGAGCCAAAGAGAGGCTAATGGAGGATTGATAGATTTCCAATCCAATAAAATCCTTCTGCAGGCTAACAGGGAGGCAAAGGCAATGGCATCCAGCTGTCTATTGGTCAGAGAAGGATTGTTGTTTGGTACTCCAAAAATAGCCATTTCTGCACTAGGCTGCAACTTTATATCAAATGCTTCAGAAAGGGTTTTAAATATAATGGACCAATAATCTGCCAGACAGGGACAGGACCAGAACATGTGGGTCAAGTCTGCCAAGGAGCCTTTACACCTGTCACAGGTACCATCAATATTTGGGTAGAATTTGGACAATCTGGCCTTACTGAAATGGATACAGTGAAGTACCTTAAACTGTATAAGGCTGAGCAGGGCACAAGAGGAGCTTCCATTTACCCTAAGTAAGGCACCATTCCAGACTTCATCAGATATCTCTCCACCAAGTTCCCTTTCCCACTCAGATCGGATTTTATTGAGTGACGGGTTATCAAGGGACATTATTATCTCAAAAATACGGGATATGAGTCCCTTTAGTTGAAAAGGTGTTTTCCAAAGGGCATCCAGACCCGATCCGGGTGATAGAATTAGAAAGGTTGGGCTTTGAGTGCGAATAAACTGGCGGATTTGGAAATACCAAAATAAACTTGAATGGGGTAGATTCAATTTGATAAAGGTCTTCGAAATTGGCAAAGGTGCCATCAATATAAAGATAATTAAACTTAGTAAGGCCAATCCGCTGCCACAGCCTGAAAGCTGAATCCAGTTTGCCTGGAAGGAAGAGGTGATTATTACATATAGGACCTTGAATAGAGAAATCACAGAATTTAAAATGTTGACGGAATTGAGTCCAAATTTTAAGAGTATTGACAACAATTGGATTGGATGTGTAGCGCAAAGCTGAAAGAGGGAGATTGGAGGTGACTAAAGCTGACAAAGAGGAGGAGAAATAGGAGTTGGCTTCTGTTTGACACCAGTCCGTTTCTAGGGTACAAAGCCAGTAAACAATCATTTGTATATTCGCTGCCCAGTAATAATACATAAAGTTAGGAAGGGCTAGTCCTCGGTGTGTTCTATCTCTCTGGAGGAATGCTTTATGTATTCTTGGATTCCCACCGCCCCATAAAAAAAAAGATATAAGCTTATCCACTGAAGTGAAAAAAGCCTTTGGTAAAAAAAGAGGGAGACATTGGAACAAATACAGAAATCTGGGCAATACATTAATCTTGATACAATTCACTTTACCAGCTAAAGTAAAATGGAGAATACTCCATCTCTGAAAGTCCAGTTTAAGTTTGCTAATCAGGGGAGTAAAGTTCTCATCATGGAGGGAAAACAAGGTATAGGTGATCCTGATCCCTAAATATTTAAAGCCAGACTTGGACATGGAATAGTATCCCGTGGAATTTGTAATGCTATTTAATGAATAGGAAAACATTCACTTTTTGAGAAATTCAATTTTTAACCCGAAAACACACCAAACATACGCAGTAGGTCCACACGCTTCAGGGTCTGAGATATATAAAAGCAAGTAATCTGCATACAAGGAAACTTTGTGTTCCAGTCCCCATCTGTAGATACCATGTATTGAGGGTGTGTCCTTTAGCATAATAGAAAGGGGTGAGGGCGGCAGGTAGCTTAGTGGGTAAGAGCCTTGTGCCAGTAACCGAAAGGTCGCTGGTTCTAATCCCCGAGCCGACTAGGTGAAAAATCTGTCGATGTGCCCTTAAGCAACGCACTTAACCCTAATTGCTCCTGTAAGTCGCTCTGGATAAGAGCGTCTGCTAAATCACTGTAAATGTAAAATGGGTTCCATCGCCAGGACAAATAACAGAGGGGACATTGGACATCCCTGGTGTGTGGCCCTTGATAATGGGAAATACTGTGAACGAAGTTTGTTTGTAAGTACTGATGCCTTGGGTGATGAGTACAACAGTCGGACCCAGGAAATGAAGTTTGCATCAAAGCCACATTTTCCCAGTACAGAGAATAAATATTCCCATTCTACCCTGTCAAATGCCTTCTCCGCATCTAAAGCGATAACTACTTCAGGAACGTCCGAAGATGCAGGAGAGTGTATGACATTAAGCAGACGTCGAATGTTAGAAAAGGAGTGGCAACCCTTAATTTACATTTACATTTACGTCATTTAGCAGACGCTCTTATCCAGAGCCTATCTGATCCGTTGATATGATGTCTGTCATAGTGGATTCTTTTCGAGAGGCAAGCAATTTCGCTAATATTTTTACATCTGCATTTAAAAGGGAGATCGGTCTGTATGAGCACACTCAGATGCATATTTGCCGGGTTTTAACAAAAGTGTGATCGACGCCTCTGTCAGGGTTTGGGATAAAACACCCTGGTCCAGGGCATTTTCAAACACAAGCAGGAGGGGGGCCAGTTTGGCAGAAAACCTATTGTAGAATTCTATTTTTTTTGTTGAAAATATTATTGATTTCAGTAGGACTAACTGTTAAGACACCCGAGGTGTTGTGAATGAGGGATCAGCTGTGAGGCAGATTTGCACTTGAGTTGATGAGCTAGAAGTCGACCAGCCTTTTCTCCATGTTCGTAAACAAAACCGCGTGCGCGGAGTAGCTGCTGCTCAGCCTTATCTGTGGATAGTAAATTGTACTGAGTTTGAAGACTCAGCCTTTTTTTTTAAAGTTCTGGTGATGGAGAGGCAGAGTATTGTTGGTCTAATTCCAGAATTGCGTTGATCAGCTGTTGTTGTTTAATTTTCCGTTGTTTATTGAGAAGACAGGAATAGGAAATTATTTCGCCTCTAAGAACAACTTTAAGTTTTTCCCAAAGTGTAGATGGAGAGATCGATTCTGTTCTATTTGTCTCAATAAAGACATCAATTACATTCGATAGAATGGTGCAGAATTAATTGTTTGAAAGAAAAGATGAGTTAAGTCTCCATGGGGGGCGATCTGTATAGTTTACATTTACATTTTAGTCATTTAGCAGACGCTCTTATCCAGAGCGACTTACAGTTAGTGAGTGCATACATTTTTCATACTGCCCCCCGTGGGAATCGAACCCACAACCCTGGCGTTGCAAGCGCCATGCTCTACCCAACAATGAGAATGAGAGGTCGAGCGACAGAGGAGCATGGTCACTAATAACAATGGCAGAGTATTCTACTTTCTTAACAGAGGGGAGAAGGGGAGTGGTGCACATGTGAAAAGAAAGACAAATCTTTGTTACTGGGAAAAAGGAATCTCCATGGATCGACACATCCCGCCTGGCTCATGAATGCAGACAAAACGCTGGTCATTTTTGAGGGAGATATTGATGTAGGGTTTGAGCGGTCCAAGACTGGGTGTACCACACAATTCAATTAAATAGTGTGAGTTGAGATTGGGCAGCAAAGAAATAAGTTTATTAATAAAATCAACATCATCCCAATTGGGAGCATAAACATTTACAAGCAAAACAGAGGTGTAAAAGAGAGAACCAGATACCATAACAAAACGCCCCTGTGGATCCGAGTCAGCAGCGGTACATTTAACCTTTTTATGAATAAGTATTGCTGTTCCCTTGCCTTAGCATTGCATTTTGAATGGAATATTTGTCCTACCCAAGCTTTATGGAGTCTACTATGATCTGCTGTACACAGATGTATTTCTTGTAAGAATGCTGGAATCAGTATTTTTAAAGGCAAACTTCAAAACCTTAATGAACGTTTGAAAACTAACTTTTTCAAATGGACTGATGTGTTGAAAGAAAAAACTAATTGAGAAACATCTCACTCCTCCCCCATATCCCATCACTACTGTACCACCCCTCCCACACGTCCCAGCCCAAACAACACCTCACCTCTCACGGACAAACTCTGCCAGCTCCTTGGTAGCAATCTGACCATGCTTCATGTTGTGGTACAGCACATCAAAACCTGCATTCTTCTCCCCCTGCAAAAACACAAACACCTTGGGTGAGCCACAGAATTATATTATGCTGTATCTCTATGGGGTGAGCTTTATAGATTCTTCAATATGGGAGATGTGATTATTTTTTATATTTATTTCATATAAAAATTATGTCAACACTTCTCTCTGTTACTTATTGCTTGAGGTCCTTGGAGCATAGTAACATGGATTGTTAAAGGTATAAAGGAGGTGAAAGATGAACACAAACAAAACGAATACTGTTTTCTTTCATCATGGCTTTATCTTGGCCAGGTCGCAGTTGTAAATGAGAACTTGTTCTCTACTGGCTGACCTGGTTAAATAAAGGTGAAATAAAATAAAAAATATTGTGGATGTGGACGCTTCTCTTGTTGTTAAGAAACCAGAACCAAGCTTGACATATGGTTGGAGAAAACAGAAATGTCTATCTCTCCACCAGAAGCATTCCTGGGAGGAGGTGATGACACAAGCAAATCATTTTGTTTTCTTCCATGACCTTTAGTACTGTGGATGTTTTTCTTGTTTCTCTTGTTGGCGGGGAACCACAAGCAACCATGACACTGGTTTGAAGAAACAAAAATCTATGTATTCTTCCTCCAGCTTTCAGAGGAAGGCAGACAGGGCAAGCTGAGTGGTTCTTCAAAAATGCTATTTCTTCCCACAGGGTCAATGCACATTTTAGATTTATTGTGCTACAATAGAATACATCTGAATTTGCATAGACCCAAAGCCTTTCTTCATTTCACCCCCCCTCCCCCCTGCACCTTAGCAGCCTGGTGCAGATGTCTTTATTTTCTACAAGACTGGCATAAGCAAGCCAATACCACACATGTAAAGAAAAACCAGGAGCCGTGCTTGTTTCAAAGACGGGATTCCCTCCCTACATATAACACTAACAAAGTTATCACATAACAGGTGCGTTAGGCTAACTGAGGCAGCATTAAAAATAGCCCATACCTTGAAGCACCCACTTTGATGTCAACAGTGGATCTGTTGTGGAGGCTGTCCAGACAGGCAAGCAGCTGCTCCTCAACACTATAAATACGGTGCTAGAGGGACACACACTTTTCCCAAGTAGCAGGGGAATGGCTGGAATGCCAAGGGTCCGGGATAGAGGCTAAGAGCAGGCCAAAACCACAACCACCCAAAGTCACAGACACCAAACACAGTCGTTGCGTTGAGACATCTGTCTACAGACAGGACAGTGGTGGTGGGCTGGAGGCCTCAATAGGGTTCAGAGGATTTGGGTTCAAACCCATTTGATTATTTAACAACAGTACACTACGTAATACACAGACTTTAATTCACATGTGATTCTCCAAAACCTTTCCTTCTCTATGGAAGGGCAGTTATGCCGTATTCTGTCTCTCGCTCTCTCTCTCCCATCTGCTCCAGTATTTGTGTAACCGAAGCCAGAGAAAGGTGAGCTGCCCTGCTCGGTCCTAAACACAAAGCAGGTATATAGTTCCCTTAACTACGCTAACATGTACATGTCTCTGACCAGGTGTAGCATCGCCTGTGTGAGTGCAATAATTACAAATAATTTGTAGACTGCAAATTGACTGCAAGAAGCCCAAACTGATATTTTTGACTAAAAGATAATAATTTCAAACCTTGCTTACATTTGTATATGATTACATACACTACATGGCCAAACGTATGTGGACACCCCTTCAAATTAGTGGATTTGGCTATTTCAGCCACACCTGTTGCTGACAGGTGTATAAAATCAAGCACACAGCCATGCAACCTCCATAGACAAACATTGGAAGTAGAATGGCCTTACTGAGGAGCTAAGTGACTTTCAACGTTCCAAACTGCCTCTGGAAGCAACACACACAGTTTGGGAACCCTGATCTAAAACATACAGCATCTAAACTTAGAGTAGCCTGCAGTATATAGAAATAAGGCATAGGCCATCATTGAAACATATTTGCAAATAGTCAAATTAGACCCATCAGATCCCAAGCAGTTTTCCATGCAATGAATGTAACGATGAGTGACATGGGACAAACAATAGGCAAACAATAGGCCTACATAAAGCTACTACTGTTCAGTCTGTTTAACTGCCAAATAACTTATCTGTGAAAGGAGCTTAAGTCACACACCAACTCAGTAATAACACCCAGACAGAAGAGATTAGACTTATTTCACAGAAACAAAATAGCCTAATCTAAAAAGGTTAGGCCTAATTCTCATTTGACTCTCTTGGTCTCAATTGAGACGGACGATTATGGACACATTTGTCTTTAGAAATTAGTATGAAAGTAATCCCAATGGATTTTCTTATCAATTAATGAGACCAGAGATACATTTAATATGGTGGCTTGGCTTTATGAACAACTATTATGCCTTTGTGTTTCCAGAAAGGATAAATAATTGCTAGCTAATCAGAAGTTGACCTCCCAGAGAGTTATCATTCACCCCATGGCTCATTGTCCCAGCAACAGAGTTCCCCTGCTAAAAGACACAGTGGGACAGAAGTATGACAGCTCTTTAATTTATGTGACAGACAGGTGTGTGTGTGTGTGTGTGTGTGTGTGTGTGTGTGTAATAATAATAATAATTATTATTATTTGGGGTGGTTCTTATATTTGTCCTGTTACAAACAAGTGTGCAATGGAAATGTGTTTCTTGCATATCCCAACTCCCCCTGAGACACCCGCAGGGAGTAGGATCACGGCCAGGGTCACTATTCTACAGCGCCCCGGGAGCAATTAGGGTTAAATGCCTTGCTCAAGGGCACATAGGCAGATCTTTTTTTTCACTGTGTGCGTGCGTGCGTGTGTCAGACCTGGAACAACTATAGTTTTAACTATGCTTTTGGAAAGCAATACATTTTCCCGGGGGAATAAAGTTTAATTACTACTTTAATATTTGAAAGTGATGACCTTTTAAAACCTATTTGAATACAGATCTTAGAAAGCAACTACTTAAAAAATATATATTTGAATACAGATCTCAGGAAGTGATTACTTTTCTGAAACTATTAGATTGGATGCCTTCAACTAATGGCAGGGCTGTATCAGGGCTGTAACTGCATGTTGAAGATAGAAATAGAATGAATAGAACACACAATCTCCTGTACTATTCCAATCTGACAGTCATATTTGATCTACACAATACATTTCTATCTGAACATTTTGTAAATGTCCATTCTCCTGAATGTCTATTGCCCCAGGTAATCAAGTAGATAATCAAGTCAAACCAATTAACCAATGATATTTTGTACAGATAAGTATAAATAAAGTTGTGACGCTCAATTACTGTATGACTCTTTCAACATGCCACTGAAAAGGTTGAAAGCTGCTATTAATTTTATGACACCTGAAAATACTGCAGAGTAATTCAAAGCCATTTGCAAACAGCAAGTTGGATGCTTAGCAAAAACAACTTCTTTACCTTTTTGTCCATCTGATGGTAAGTGTTCTTGTATCAAACACACAATATACCATCTTTAAAGGGATAGTTTACACAGAATACAAACTAACATGATTTTCCACCTACCCTGGCTGTAGCTGTTCAGGTTTCTGCGTTTTTTTACACCAGCTTCAAACAGCTGAAAACACAATATTTTGGGTTATGGAAAATATATTTCACGGCGGTTTAGATAGTACAATGATTCTCTACACCAGGGGTACTCAACTGTTACCCTACGAGGTCCGGAGCCTGCTGGTTTTCTGTTCTACCTGATAATTAATTGCACACACCTGGTGTCCCAGGTCTAAATCAATCCCTGATTAGAGGGGAACAATTAAAAAATGCAGTGGAACTGGCTTCAAGACCCAGAGTTGAGTTTGAGGGCTCTACACTACACTTGCTGGTTTTGTCACATAAACTGAAATTAGGTGAACTATTAGAATTTTAGCAACCAGGAAATAGCGGAGCGATTTCTGCTTAGTGCATATTTAACAGCCATATTTTGTTACTTTTTATTTTCATGTTACATAACACTTTGGTAATTGCATTTTAATTGCATAGCAATGAGCTGACCGTTTTTGTAACTACTGTACACAAGAGGAATAGTGACTGTTCCTTATTCCACTTATGTAATAACTCCATTATTATGCAATTATAAAGCAATTTCCAAAGATCTTGATGTCAAGTGTTACTGTATTACCTTGTGTCTCACTCATTATGAACATATTTGTGTTAGCCATTTTAAAGCTGCAAAAGTGGTCTACTCTGTTTGTCTCTTCATCAAATATTTGGCAGCCATCAAATAAATATTTTTTGGTTTTCAAATAACTTGCATATATTCAAATACCTTCAAATATTATTTGGTTTTCTGAGAGGTACTCAAAATATTTTCAAGTCTTATATGTTTTTCAGAGACCTGTATTTGAATATCAGTTGAAACTCTATATAAACTATATTCAACTACCTTGAGTACTTGAAAAGTTGCCCAGGTACGGTGTATGCGTGTGTCAGTATCACAGCTTAAACAAGTTCTCATCCAAAGATGTCCTAAGAGTTAAATCCATGACCAAAATGATTAATTATAGCACATGTCATGATCTTCCATCTGAGATCATTCATCACACAGGTCTGTTTCATATTCCACTCCATGGCCAGTGGTCTTTGACAGTTCTCTTTGTCTGATTTATGCAGGCCCCCTCTTCTCCCTCCCTACTCCTTTTAATCAATTAAGATGAGAGTTTTGTCTCACGCAAGAGAGAGCACATTACAATGACAATGTCGTGAGCTGTGGGAGATGAGAGGAGAGACGGAGGCATCAAGACAACTCACAACTTTCTCACCATGGCTGAGATTCCTTTGTACTCCATGAAACACTGAGAAGCTCTGTCTGTCAGTCTAGTCTGTGTGGTCAGATAGTGACCAGGTTCATGTTTTACAGCTATTAAACTTTAAAAACACACATCACAGGACTGATTAGTTCCTGAGGAGCAGGGTACCCCGTGGGAGGTTTGGGTTGGGGGAGGGGGTCTTCTCCCTCACTCCTTCCATAACTCCCTAATCTATCCCCCAGCGAGCGGTGCTCCCAAGTCAAACAGCCTCCCCTCTGCCTCCCTCCATGCCTCCCTCCCTATTGCAGTTAGCCTGCCAAGACTTGCAGCACCATTTCATCTGTGTGTACTGTGCATAGCAGCCAGCTAACGACTCTCACTTGATTCTAATTAGAAGTATCCTTGGCTTTACCCCTCAGACCTGAACAAAGCTAATTACTGCACAGACGAGGCCTGGGATGCTGCTTTAAACAGTGTGATGAAGGCAGGCCTCGTTTGGAACTGGCGTGGTTAGCTGTGTCTGGATCCCCCTGCTAGAGCGTGTCCGGCTTAATTGGGTAAGTGGTGTTACCTCCCGGTGGGGAGGTGTTCCTCACAGGCTCACTAGCCACAGCAGAGACCTCAGCCTCAGCTGCAGTGTTGGTGTGGTTCAAGGGTTGACCAGAGTAGAGCTATACTATGGGTTGCGGTTCACTCCCTGACCAGTGTCGGAGGACATTCTTGTGCTGTGATGCAAGCGGGCAGAAAGGCAGGCAGGCAATAGGCAGCCATGGAGTCATGTGAAACCTGGCACACAGTGACACAGAGTACAGAACAGCCAGTCTGTCCTCTCACTGGTCAGCAGCATAAACAACACTGCCTGCCAATCCATCTATCAACAACTACCAAGAACTATCAGACCTGGATAGTAAAGGAAACATTTCCTATCCTATGTTCAGAGTTGGATATAATAGGGAGTGGTATGACATAGCATAGGCCTATATGGTATGATAATGATCTACTATAATATAGTTGAATGACTGGATAGCCCCAGGTCAGTGTCAGTGGAAAGAGACAGTCTAGCTGACTCATTGAGGTTTTGTGCTTATGGTGCAGTTTGGGCTCAATGGGCAATCCCACAGCAGAGTGTCAGCAGCACTGATGATGGCCCTCTAGTATCTCGTCACACCACTTTCACATCTAAAAGGACAGCGTCATTGAGTCCCCATAACAAACCCATTATCTGCTCTAGTCATTACCTGGTCCACAGTGCCTGGAAGAGACCAGCAGCATCCATGTAGAACTATACTGCACTGGACATCACTTCAGATCAGAACAAACACACAGTCCTGTTGCCGCATTGATTAATGGCTTCAGTGTCCCATTGGGCAACAGGCAAGTGGATTGAGCCCTGTGGTACACGTGACACCCTAAGTGCAGGACCAACCCATGACAGAGACTGAGCACAATGCAGTCACACTCACGCTTTTCTTACCATCACCAGTGCATTTGCATCTGGCCTCAGGAACCTGAAGGCAAATTCCCTGAATTGGCTCTTTATCTAACGGGACAGTGAGCGACTATCCTGCTGCCATTAATCTAATTTAGCAGAGCAAAGAACAGCTCAACAAGGAGGGAGAGAGGGAAAGATGGAGAGAGGAGAGAGAGGAGAAAGATGTGAAGGGAGCGAGTTTGTCCTCTGGTAACGTGGTATTCCGACCGTGCCGCCTATGGACACAGACTGATGTGAGACTGTCTGAGAAAGAGTTACATCCCTCCTGGTTTGGGTTGGAGGGAAGCGTCTTTGACCTGGCTTTGTTCCACACAAAGGAGTTATCCTCTCCTCTCCATAGGCATGGAGGCCCTGCTGCCTGCAGCCACACAAAGGCAGCCAGGATCACATGACTTGCTGCTGGTCAGTCAGCAGGCAGGCAGGCTGGCAGAGCAGACAGACAGACAGCCCAGCTCGCTCTGCTGCTCACAATAACACACTCAACTCTGCCTCTGTCTCTGTCACAGTCAGTCACACAACACAACTCTACACAATGGAGCCAGGGGGATCCAGCACCACTGATATAGAGGCTTCATGTACACACACGCGCGTGCGCACACACACACACACACACACACACACACACACACACACACACACACACACACACACACACACACACACACACACACACACACACACACACACGCGCACAAGTATGAGAGCATGCACAAATACAAAGACACACAAACCCCACCACTACCAAACAAGCACACACTATCTGATGCACAATGAATGAGGAATGGGGAGTTAGAGAAACCAACAACGATCATAATCAGATATCCCCCAACAACTGAATGAAAAAAACAACAACATTAGATTCTCTAAATATTACGACCTATAAAAACCTCTCAATTCAATCAATGATAGGAATCTCATTTCCCTAACCAAATTAAATTCCTGACTCGCTTCCGCTCCCAGACCCAATTGTTACTTGACTTTTAGTTACATTTTTTGGCACAGCGTCCTCCTCTAAATATCCCTCCTTCACGGTGAACGGGCAGAGTGGTGTATCAGAACTAGGGCACGCCAGGTGTGCAGAGGAGAGCAGAACACAGCCATAGTCCCCTTGGGAGCAGCTGACAAACGCCTGGCCTGTTCCAGTCTCTCCTTCTATCCCTCTAAGACTAGGGGGTTACAGTCAGTGGTACATTGATGTCATGCTTATTCTCTGCAGTTTCTGTCCAGGTTATAACATATTGATGTGGTTCCTGTTGGTTTCTTTTCCAGGTATTGTAAAGATATGATGATATGTGTTAATCTGCATGTCAGGAATTAACCCTGTGCCTCTACTCCCGCCATCACTAAGGAGACCAAGCAGCCTCAGTTCTAAGAAAGAAAGAAAGAAAGAAAGAAAGAAAGAAAGAAAGAAAGAAAGAAAGAAAGAAAGAAAGAAAGAAAGAAAGAAAGAAAGAAAGAAAGAAAGAAAGAAAGAAAGAAAGAAAGAAAGAAAGAAAGAAAGAAGAAAGAAAGAAAGAAAGAAAGAAAGAAAGAAAGAAAGAAAGAAAGAAAGAAAGAAAGAAAGAAAGAAAGAAAGAAAGAAAGAAAGAAAGAAAGAAAGAAAGAAAGAAAGAAAGAAAGAAAGAAAGAAAGAAAGAAAGAAAGAAAGAAAGAAAATCACTCAGGGGACTGGTAGAGTGCAACATGTGCAGCATGGTGGTGGTTCAGTATCATTCACAGATTAATGATTGAGAAAGTAAGGCATCATAACTCAGGGAAATTGGATGGAATTGTTCTGTCAGCCTACATGCATTTGTCCCCTTTAAATATGTATGTGTCCCCTTTAAATATAATGCTGTACAAAAGTTGTTTATTTAAAAAAGCATTATGTTTAACTGTAAAAGGCAGGCCTATTATTGCTACGTTCACATACAGTTAGTGAGTTTTTATTAGCTACTGCAATCTGTATAGAAATGAGTGGTAAAAGGGTCTAAAGTTTGCATGCATAATAGCTAAATAAAATAAAACAATGACTAATCTTTACATAACCCAATCTCTGATTGTTGGTTTTCACCTCTCCATGTTGAGTTGCCAATGATCCTCATAGAATGTAATACATCAAATAGACTCACCCAGAAGTTGTTTTTAAAGAACGCCATCTTCACTCAGAGAGTTTTATAGGGATCTGCAATTATGAGAGAGGGGAGGAAACCATTAGGGACAGTACAGAAATGAGGCTAGAGCCCTCAGCTCTCCTCTGTATCAGTGACCAGAGTTAGCCGGTGGCACGGAACCAACATTCACACCAATAATGAGACAACTCTACAAATGGATTGTTGTTTTCCCTGTGCTGAATTGCTATTGATCTCTAGCTGTGGGCTGAATCTCCCCTTGTACAGACACTGTAACAATAAATTGGGCAATGTGAAAAGCCTCCTCTCAGACCCAAAAAGAGACAGAGACACTGTAGTGTATAAAGAATAAAGTGGAAACTTCTGTTGCGGTCTTATTAAAAACAAGCTGGCGTAGGCAAGGCGACAATAGACAGCTTTAGTTCAATGCACAGCCCGGGTTTAACAGTTCACTTCAAAGAGATGGAGGCTGACACAGGGAGGAGAAAGGGAAGAGAGAGAGCTCTGACACAGCCACCAAGGAGAGGGTGCCCTATCAAGATGAATAAAGATCTCTACAGTGTGATCACTCACTCTGGCTGTATGTGCAGTAGAGAGCTGAGAGACTAAGGGAGTAGCCAATAGCCATATCTCTAATACCATCCCCCAGAGTCACCTACCAAAGAGAGCTAGACAAGCAGCAGGTATACTTTGGTGAGGACACACAATGAATCAACAGGAACCATGTTCTCTTTTCTGACTGTGAAGTGAGAATTGCGACTATGGGCTTCTATGGGATGGGACTATGGGAGGCAGGAGGAAACATAGCAACAGCTGAGCATACACCCTTTGACCCCCTATAGCGTTTCTCCACCCACCCACACTGCTGTGGGGGATTTCATTCCTGCTCAAGTAGCTCCTAGCTATCTGCTCATCATGAATAATAGTAGCCGGAAGAGCTTCTAAGCATATAGCAAAGGTGAATGAGTGTGTGAGCTAGTGTGACTGCGTACAGGTGAATGTGTGTGTGTGGTGACCCTGCAGGCACAGTGTTTCCCCAGGGAAGGCTGTGGGTTCCTATTATTCTGAGGAGAGGAGAGGAGAGAGGGCTTTATCTTTGCTGGCACAGAGGAGCGACTGGCCCTAGCTCAGGCAGGGCGACCTGGTGTTGGACAGGGGAACACACAGGCAAAAGCGCTCTCGCTCGCTCACTCACACACACCTCCCCTCTCACACCCCGTTAATTAACTCAGTGCTTGGAGTCGTTTGGCAGCGTGGCTCAGGGCTGAAAGTGAGACGCCGCAGCCAGCTACCAAGTACCCACTCTGTTCTAGGCAACACAGAACCAGGGTGATAGAGGAGAGGAATCAGTAAGACAGAGGGGTCTGTTTGGCTGTTAGTTGGATCACAGGCTGGTGGTGGTGGTGAGGGGCAAGCATATTGTGCCAGGCTTCACA